CCCCACTCTGTTCCACTGTTATTCCACTGACCTGTTCATGTCTGAGTTCTAGTTGAATGCACGCTGTTACCAGCTCAGTGAAAGCTGCTTTGGCCTTGAGACAGGTAGTTTATTGTTAACACCGCCTCAGTCGAGTCCTTGCATCAGCAGTTGTCAGTCAACTTTAAAAAAGTACCTAGCCCCGGGGTTAGAGATGTCTGCAACCGAGAGGCCCGCACAGGTAACACACAAACGAAAATAAGACAAAAGAACTTGTTCTTCTTTTTAAATAGACTCTACCTTCTTAAAGCTTTTATTTTGTGTTTTGTTGTCGAGTCTTTGTGCAAAAAAAGGTAAAAAATTTCCACTCCATGATATGAGTAAATAACCTTTAAAAAACAGCGCAATTGAAGCAGGAAACCTTGGCAGACTGCAGCTTTAGTTATTCTTCACAGCATCTTGAATTTCAACACCTAAGCTCCTTGATTTGCTGGGAAAGGAACATCGTGGCTCCCCGTCTGAATTTCATTGAGAAAGCAGGGAGGATTTGTCAATGGGGCTCTTGAGTGCAGTGTTGATGTTGTGCGGCTAATGTGTTTGCGCTGGCTGTGATAGAGGGGATTAGCTCCTTTGTGGTGGTCTGCTGGGACCGCAGACTACTGGACTTTGAAAGCATACTTGCCAACTTACTCACAGGCAAATCAAAGCCTGTGAAAAATGGTTCCCTCAGCACCTAGTTGACTGTTTGACCTCTGTGTCGGAAAAGGTACAAGCGTCAACACACACATAGACACACACACACTCACACGGCATCATCAGTCTGTACCACACAGTGTTTGAAGAGCGGCTGAGGGTCAAGGTGACGGATAGCAAACACAAACTAAATCTTCAAAGTTAATCACAGGCTAACCAGCCCGCCAACAATTAACCAGTTTCCTCTGATAGGTCAGTTTACCTTTATAAACAATCATGCATAACATCTATACAAAGAGTGGTTCCATAAAAGATGAACATTTAATTTATTCTTGTGAAAAATGTCCTGAAAACTATGTCCAGTAGTTTCTGGAAGACAGAATTTAAACATACAAAAGTAAAGGGTTAAAACAGCATGAAAACTACAGTCAAATACCTAGAAATGTGTGTTTTTATCTTTTTGATTAAGAGAGACAGGCTGATTCTTGAAATTTGTGCTGGAAGTAGCTGTAAAAAGTGTTTTAAGTGAAATGCAAAAGGTCCGGAAATCCCAAGAGAGGCGGAATACACCCCGGACTGGTCCCCAGTGTATCCCAGTGCAAACATAGAGACAAACAAAACAACCATTCACCTTCACACTCACACTCAAGGTGATTTTGAGTGACCAGTTAACCTGAAGAGCATGATTCTGGACTGTGGAGGGAAGCAGGAGTAACCAAAGAGAACCAAGTCGTGCACAGGGAGAACATGCAGACTCCAGGCCGCAAAATCCCTACCCAGCGTCCCAAATGGAAGACAAGTATATTTTCAAAATCACTGTCTGGATCCAATCCCTTACAAATGAGGGTAATCTGTGATGATTTATGTGCTAATTTAAGTAAAATAGTGTCATTTCTGTAGTTAGGCTGCCATCTTTGTTGAGGTCCATTGACTAATTGGAGGTTGTGTCTGCAGACAGGTGACCTGTAAAAGTCACAGTCTCAGTATAGAAATACAAAAGATAGAAGTGTTTTGAATGGAGTCATCTTTTCAGCTTATTTGGTAGACATGTAGTCATGTCTGCTGTTTAAATCCAACACCTTTATACTGAATACATATTGAGTTTTATCAAAAATACCAAACTACCAGATTATTAATCTCATACTGATAAGGATTCGCTTCATCCAAAGTCCAAAATCCAAATCCTCATTTTTCCTCATCTTTTCATCCTCCATCACTTACTGCAACTTAACCCCATGAAATCACCATGACAAAAGCCTTTATACCCACACACAAACACTCATATATGACCTCTTCCATGGCCTTGCCAGTGTGTTTACAGTAAACTGAACCGGTCCTAAGTGTACCCCACAAAGGACCCTGCAGCCTTTGTTTTCCAGCACGCTCCCAGGAGACTCAGTGAGGATGAAACAGAGATACGAGCAGCTAGAGTTACCTCTTCATGAAACATATCAACACCACCAATCACAGCAGCACAGGCTGCCCATAGCACTCCGCCACGACTGGACGAACTCTTGGAGGGCGCTAATGAAAGGAGAGCTGGCAGCACAACAGAGGAGGTATTCAGCTGCAGATTTCAGCCTGGAGTCAAGAGGTGGTGGAGAAGGAGATGAAAATGTGAATAGTTTCATTGCTTTTGATCAGTTTAACCATCAATACATCAACCGTGATGACATTAGGGTTAGAAATGAACGTGTTGTTTATTCTGAATCACATGCAGTTTTGTCCCTTTTGGTGCACCGTAGTTTAGTCTGATGAAGTGTCTTCCTGCTTCCTGCTGCCACCCAGATGGAAAATAAAAACCCTGCCATCTTAAAGTCAGACTGACATACCTCGACCATGCAATGGGGGAGACTGAAAGTGGCCTAAAGGTTCTGCACGCTCTCCAGAGTTGGGGCAGCAGTAGCTCAGAAGGTAGAGCGGTTGGCCAATAACCGGAAGGTTGGCGGCTCGAACCCTGCCCTATCCCGGGTCTGTCTGTTGTGTTTTTGGGCAAGACGCTTAACCCACCTTGCTCCCAGTGTGTGTCCTTCACTGGTATATGATTGTCAGTGTTGTGTGGTGGTGGTCGGTGAGGCCGTAGCCGCAAACTGGCAGCCACGTTTGCTACTAAGCTAGTTCACCACTGCTAAGGTGTGACTGTGTGAGTGAATGAATGATGTATCCAATGTTAAGCGCTTTGAGGTCACTGACAAAAAGCGCTATAAAAATCGGATGCATTATAATTATTATAATTATTCACACACCAAGCTTTGAGCTTTGAATAGAATAGTAGAAGTTTGGCACTGAACAAAACCTCGAAAGAATAAGATAAGACACAAAGATCAGTTATTATCGTTCAGTGTGTTTTCTGTTTGTGACTTTCTGATGTGTTTGTTGATTGTTTGGTTTGTGACCCAGTCGTGATGAGCTGAAAGGGGCGTGTTGTCTTCTACCGTAGCAAAGGTGGACTCGGTCCTGTCAATAATGTGATTCTTTCCTGGTGCATGTAATCTGAGACGAGGACAGCAGTCCAACTAAATCACCAGATTGAGCTTTGATTGTAGCTCGACTTAGCTGACCAATCAAAATTGTTAAGGACTCAGATTTGAGGAAAGGTAAGAGCTGCTTTACTTTGTTAAGACAGGCTGCTAAACTGTTCGACATGCAAAATAATGAATTTTTGAAAAATATGATTAAAATGTGACAGATTTGGGCACTTGTTAGGGTTATGGGGTAAACAGGGTTTTTATCAGTCTTAGCCCCGTTGACAGTACACAACTTTTTTCAGCATGATGATGACAAAAAAAATCATGAAGGTGCAATTTTAAGGTTTCTGTTTGTGCGTGTAAGTGTCATATCCTGTGTTTGATCAAAATAAGGCCGAGACTCCTAACCAGGATACTCACGTCAGTGTAAATGCACTCATTAAAGCAGCTGTGGACTTTCATCTAAAGACAGTAATCCTTTCTGATTCCCATCTTAACTTTAAATCAGAGTCATCGTGGTTTAGGTTAAGTGAGATCAATTTCAATCCCTTTTGTTAGTCCTTGTTAGTGAGAGTCTGTACCCACAGCAGAGCTTTAGGCTCCTCATCAAAGATGAAACAGATCACTACAATCCCTTAATTACCTGCACTTAAAACAACCAAATGCTTTTTTCCCCTGAACAGTCATCATACTGTTACTGTGCTTTAACTGCGAGAAAGTAGAAGTAAAAATATTGACACTACATGTTCTGCAAGCAAAGAGGATTCCAAACATGCCAGCTGTTAAGATCCCAAAAAATGCTAGAAAACAAGCATGGGTACAAGCAAAATATTCACATTATTTAGTGCTTTATTAGCAGATGTTTACATGTAACTAGAGTTAGGATAGAGGCCACAGCGTCCTAACAAGATATGTAACCATTAGTCTTCTGTAAACCACATATATCACACAAAGTGAAGAAAAAAAACCCACCTTGCTCGTTTTGGCAGCTTTTTTGAAACTCTAGATAGCGAGATAAAGAAAGGAATGTCAGTGTTTATTATTGTAGCAGCTGAATCATCTTAAAAATTGTCTCCCCCTTTCCCGATGCCAGAGTCTTCGTGTTGTCTTGTGGCTTAATAATATTCTGCATGATAAAGCTTCTTCAGGGAAATTCCCAAACAATGCCTAAATCACAGAGCCTGTTGTGATGGGATAAGAGTTAAAACAGCTCTTACACAGCTGGGAGACCAAAAAACACAAAGAGGAGAATGCAAAGAATGTTTAATGTTTTTATTACGGACATCCAGAACGTTTTATAATGAATACAGCACAGTTTTAAACCCGGGAGGATTAAAAAAAAGGCTTTTCCTGTAGTTAGTAAATTTGTGATTATTATAAAATGACTGCCTTTGCATTGCAGTCATGCAACTTTGCATTGGCCTGTGAAGAAATGCACTGCCCTCCACAAGACTAGTGGACAGCAATACTTGTGAGATTTGGAGCTGAGTGCATTATACCTGCATGATAATGCAAACACAGACATGCAATCAAAACCTTTACAGGTGGAGCCCACATTAAACAAACATTATTGATTATTTCACAGTTTTTACTTGTAGTCCTGCATTTCAGAAGAGTATGTTTTGTGCTGCCATAGTGCAGTAATATATCTAAACAAGCATACATATCCACTTTCACACAGTTAGAAAGATTTTTCATTCTTTTTCCTCATTCCTTACTAAAACTAATGCTATCACTGCTATGCTACAAGATGTGGCCAGATAGGGAGTAACACTCCCTACCACAAGGGGCAGTGTAGCTGGCCATTTCTGGGAGGTTGTCTATAAATACACCTTGTTGGCTCTGCTCTCTCTCTCTCTTCCTCTTCCTCTTCCTCATTCATGGAGACAGAGGTGTGCAGTGGTTGTTTGCATGCTGCCTGCACGGCGTGGAGTGGTGTCGGACTGTAAGATCAGGTATGTGTCCTCTGTGATCTGGCTCAATCCATTCAGTTACTTGTGTGCGGTGGTTGACTCTGGTTTAGCTCTGCTACAGCAGTGTGGTGTGACCGGGAGCTGGGCTATCTCTCAGGGTCTGTGTGGGCCCGGTGCGCTTCTTGTGGTCAAGATGCCTGTTGTCTTTTTCCAACATTAGTGTGGATGGTTTTGGTGAGGGAATTGAAAAATCTGTAGTTTTGATTTATTCGTATATTTTTCTGGTTTAGAGTTTGATTAGTTAATGTGTTTATTTTACAATGTGCGGCCCTCATCTGCTGCTGTCAGCTGCTGTCTTGACTCTTGCACACTAAAAAATGCTGCGTTGTTTTTTTCAACCCAACCACTAGGTTGAGCCTGTTGGTCAATTTATTTGGGTTATTTTCATTGAGTTGGGTATTCTGAGTACCCAATTCATAAGGTTATTTATGTTGGGAACAGAGTTATGAGCTTTTTGGATGTAATTTTCTATATGGCGTCGTTGGTTTATTGTGATCTACCAAACACATTGGGTAGACGTTCGGGCATTTAAAACCAAGCTCCACCCACTCACCAGATTGATGGCTCTACTGCTGAAGCGAGGAGACGTACGAAGCAAGGTATGTTACATTCCTACTATTGCTTTACCATATAGATGACTTGATATTATTATAAAGACCCTCATTTTGTTAAGATGTTAGTTTGTGAAGCACTGTAGTGTACCAGCTTCTGCCTTCAGGAATCTATTGGTAGGTGAGCAAGCTAATGGTTAGCCAACGTTAGCTGCATAAAGTACATTGACTCAAACGTAGCAAGCTAACACATTAGCTGATGTGCGGTGTGGTCAGAAATGTTAACAACTGCTTTAATGGACTCTCTGTCTTGGTGTTTCAGGTTGATACGAACAATCAGTGGACGACTTCGTGACGTGGTGTGGATGCAAGATACAACCTCCTGTTTTGTATTGTTTATTTTGAAAAGATAAGAAAACCATATATAAAAAGAGAATGCTAAAGTTCATTCTCTGTCAGTAAAATGGAAAAGGAGCTGTTAAGGGGCGGCAGTAGCTCAGGAGGTAAAGCAATCATCCAGTAACCAGAGTGAGTGTGGTCTTGGTTTCTGCTCTCACTATTCTCGGCTGGTTCCGGCGTTTTCCTGGCCTGTCTCTGCGGGGTGCAGCCACGCTCTTGTTGGCGACTGTTCCTCTGTGACTCCTGGTGCCCAAACCTCTCCAGAGGCACGGGCCAGCTGCTCCCTGACATCATTTAATTTGTTCAACCTATTCCTTCTCTTTTAGTCTTTTTCTTCAGAATTATTAGTGAGCTTGTATCTTTTATTTCATTGTTTGTAAATTAATTGTGTCTCACTTTGCTTATTTGTTAAGTGTTGATTGTGTTTTGCATTTGGGGTGAGTGTTTTTTTTATTCATATTTTTTTGTTTGTTTATAGTGATGTGAGGGCTGTCATTATTGCATGATTTCTAATTGTGTTTCCTTTTTCTTTGACAGGTACTGCAGGCCTTAGGGCGGCAGCGGTCCCCTGGTGGTGGTTCCTGTTTTCACGTTTGGTTTGCTGTCTCAGGGGTGTTGTGTACTTTTTGGAACCTTTCCCCTTTTTGTTACCCTGTCCTGGTTTGTTCTTTTTGTAGGCCCTCATACCACTGTTGATTTATTGCTGCTTATTTTAAAAATGTTTGTTTAATAAAGTATTTTAACTTTTAAAACCACTTTCTCTCATCTTTGTGGACTTAATAGTTTGAACTGCGTGCCTTGGGGATAGTTGGTGTTCATATCCTGGGGTGCAAGTCCCCAGGTAACGTTGTCAAATTGTTGAATCTTACTGCTCGCCTTGACACATATAGACATGTTGTGTCTAGGTTTCCATAAATCAGTCTTGTTGTTGTTGTTGTTTGTATCAGTCCATCTCTCTTTCTGCATCTTCCTCTATTCCCTTTCTAAACCCAATACAGTTTCAGCAGATGACCGTCACACACACGACATGTGTGAACAGAGCTGTCGGCTCTGGTGTTTTTCCCCTTTCTGCATCAAATAGCTGGTTAGGTTATTTGAAGCAGAAAGGTAAACACTTGGACATGAATGTGCAGAATAATAACTAACCATAATGGCAAAAACCATGTCTGAGAAAGAAAACTCTTTGACCTGTTGATGGACTTTAATGTCCCAGGGGATGGTGGGCTCTACACTGCAGCCAGTCTGGGGGGCTCTGAATGTTTTGGCTTCACTTTGAGGGCCATGTCAGGTCTCCAGTCTTGTTGTTGTGTTAAAAGACACAGCAGTATTGTCTCCCTGCTCTTTAGACAGAGCTGCAAACTTTCTCCTGGCTTTCTACCTTGTTGCTATCGGTTACTGCTCTACCCCATTACATTTTTGATAAAAGACTCCTCTCCTGTGTGAGAGCTGCAGACACGGCTGGAATGCATCATTGACCAATCACTTGTGTTGGATGTTGGACAATGTGCTGTGTGGTCTAACTAAGAATATTAGACTTCATAAGGGAGGAAAATAGCTCTGAAGGAATGACAGGTATGATAAACTTTTTCTCCAAATGTAGTCCAGTTGGAAAGCACTTCTAAATAAAACACAGACGAACATGTTGCCACAGGTGACAAATAAAATAAACTTGTGAAAGTTAAGCGAATATAAAGAGGCTGTTTCCAAACAGGGGAGTATGAAGTCATGGTTACTATCACAGGCGCCGCCACCAGAAATACCAGCGACTTTTTATAGTAGAAGAAGATGATTTCTCGTCATCTGTGTCTTCTCAACGGTAAAATATCTCCTGGGCTATAAAACAGGTCCTCCATGTGTGGTGCAGCTCTGAAACAATGCAGGTATCTTCAGATTCTCAACTTCCAGTAACCGCTGAGGCGTTCCAGCTCGGCCTCACTCTCTAATCTATCATCATGCTGTTAATTCTGTAGTTACTCCACATCACGGCTGCTGCTTCTTTAACCGCCACGATCTTCTACTCTAACTGCAGTAATACTAACTGAGGAGGAAATAACAAAGCAGAAGCAAAGACTGGAAATCTTGCAGCTGGAATAAAACGCCAAATTTGGAGGCTGTGTTTGTGATGTGAAATCAGTGCAGCTTAGACTTGACTGCCTAAACTTGGAGGTTGCAAATAGTGATTATTAAAAAAAGAGTCAATTATATATGCATGTGGCAGAAATTAAAATTCAAGCTAACTCTTCTTCCAATCAAAGGAGAGACAAAGAAGAAGCAGCAGCTGCAAGTGAGCTAGCTGTAGCATCCCTCTGATAGATGGTAAAAGCGCTTTTTAAAAACTCATTTCAAGATTGATCTTTGAATCCAAAAACAACGATAGAGGTTGTGCCTCTTTGGGTTATTTATCAATTATGTATTTATACTTTAATACTTACTCGCTACCAGAATAAGTATACTTCAAAATAAAAGACACTGAAATGCAAGACAGAAAAAAAATCTAAACAGAAACATGAAAGCCCTGTTCCAGAAACAGGGCTGGTGATTTGGATAAATCATAAACTTTAAAGGTCCTTTCACAGCGAGACCGTTTTTGTTGTGCGATTATTTCAGACGTCTATATTTTTTTTCGAACCCGTATCCTGTCAATACAAGCGTTCACATCCAACATGGCTGACCGGCTGATTGTTTACGTGTCGGGGAACAGAGTGATTTTTGATAAAAGACACAAATATAACAAAGATAACGACCTGAAGGACAACTTGTGGAGACTCATAGCATTGGATTTCTCATATGAGGATGGTTACGTGCTTTAACAGTATGCTAAACGTCTTTGTTTTAACTTTCATCTGCGCTAAGTAACTTTAGCTCGTAAGCTAACCTGTTCAGATACAATATACCATATGTATTTTCACTGTCTCAAACTCCTGTTACCTTACGTTTCTGGATTATAGTTTAATGTGCTTATCTGGTACTGGCCCCGACTCAGTACATGCTATCATGACAGACATCTCAACACTAGAGTCTAATCAGAACTGAAAAACACTCAGTCTGCTGTTGTGTCTGTCTTCTCGCTTCCACCCGGGACGCGTCTTTTTTCCCAAAAAGTTGCAAAATCACATTGCGCTTGATGTGTATAGTCCGGTGCCTCAAAATCCGCCTCCAAATATTTTGTAATTTTGCGTTCTGTATTCGTGTCGGCTCCAGTGTGTTAGGTCCTTCAGATCATTAAAAAAGGATAATGACATTTAAGCTAACTGTGTTCATTTGTGGAGTTTATGAAGTGACATGTTGCTCAACCCTCGTTTTGTCTCGTCCTCGATTTGACCAAGCTTAATACGGCTGTATCATCACTGCAGTATTTTATGGCTTCAACAATCATGTGGTGAAAATCCGACACTGTGACAGTCTCTAGTGCAGTTCATCAATATTTTCAGTTATTGTGTCCATCTTGACTGTATTTGTAACTTATCTTTTAGCCTCATCTTTACAGCTATCACATGTCAAAATGTCTTCCACGAAAAAGGCGTATATTTAATTTCAATCTGTTGCAAGTAAGAGGAGCAGTACATGTAAAAGGTGGGCGAAAAGGAGGAGTCATCTTTAAGCAAAGCCTATAATACTATCACGGTGATACTACACAAAGATACTGCTGTTAAAGCATGTTTAGCAAAAATGGTTTTTACGACTGCTGTCAATTCATGAATGATAAATTGAACTGTTTGTTGTTACTGTCAGCGCAGCAGAAATGACAGCAAGCTTTGAATTTAAAGGTTCACATAAGGGGAACAACCTGATTGCATACCACTCAACCAACCTGTGTTCAACGCCAGGACACACATGTAGAGGCTTTTCTTCACTGCTCCAGCGCTAAACAGAAATCCTGACACCAGTCTGTGTGGGAATTTCCACTGTGACTGCAGCTACGCTCATTAATCAGCCCTAAAATGCGATGTCAAACCATATTTGTCACATATTTATGATTCATTGCATTAAGAGAGGAGGGAAAATCTCTCCCCTGAAGCCGGGATTTCACCCGCGACGAGCGATCTGAAGGCAATTTGTTGCTTTGTCATGTAGAGGTTGCAGAGATGGAGACAGATTGCTCTTCGTAGGGTTTTTGTTTGCATTAAGTTCGCGGCTTAAAAAGAAGCTGGAGGAGTTCAAAACCAACACTGTGTTCATGCAGCTGGGAAGTATGATCGCACTGATGATCCTCAGACTGTCTGTGATCAGATTACAGAAGCTCCTGCTGACCCATCAGCTGTTAGAGGAGAAACCAGACTGCCTTAGCTCAGGATGATCTAAGAATTTAGGAAAATTATAAATGACAGCTGTGGAAAAATAAAAAGCCTAGTTTCTTAATGTTTGAATGTAGCTGCTTGACTCCATTTTTAGTGAATCATTACAGCTACTATGTGGACAGTATTGAAGGGTTAGAGTTACTGTCATGGCATTTTTGTTTGCAGACATGCAAAGTTGGTGCTGTCTGTATCTTATGATTCATGGTTGTCATATAACAATGTTGTGAAAATGATTTGCATGCACACAAATTAGAAAAAAATGATTAATAACACTGGAGTATGCAAGCCAGGCCAGGCCAGTAGCTGGCGGTGTAACTTTGTGCTGCCTTTGCATGAGGTTATTCTTCATGAGAGGTGAGAGCAACTAAACAAGAGGACAATGACAAAGACATGCTCAAAACGTTATCTTAGTGAACTCAGTTCAGTCAGCAAGGCAGATTCAGCGTAATAGTAGTCGACTTCCTGCTTGTGTGTGGCTTTTGACTGGGAATGTAACATGCATGTTCAGAGTTTTAACTGGGTCTGTGTATGGTCGGTTTAAACAACAACAGACTGGGTGGTGTTTCCAAAAGTTCCCACTTTAGAACCCAGTTTCAAAAGTTTGAATTTTCAGACACTAAAATGTTGTTTCTGTGTAAAAGAATGGCCAAAATGCAGCAGTGATTGACTATTTTCTCTCGAATCCATTTCAATGTAAACGTTCCCTTTGTTTCGAACTGTAATCCGTGTGGATTCACGTGAACAACCTTGTTTTCTACCAAAGTTGAACCTTTTCTTTGATAATTCAGCACAGGCCTCAGTTTTTATTTTGGTGATCAGATTTTGGGTTTCCAGTAGATGCTGAATAAACTCAACCAACAACACTGAGTTTCTGAGTGTGTCAAACACTATGAGTATAAAAATACTGATAGTCTAACGTTGTTCCATTTAATTCAACATCAGCGTTATCTTCATGTTCTTAATGAACGTTCTTTGTAGAAGTTAACCTGGTGTGGACATGAGCTTTTTTGTGAAGAGAGAGTGCTAGATAATGTCCTAAAGGTTTCAATCAGAATTGTAATTAACTGTAAAGGTAAAATGAAGTCAATGTGGATGTGCCACACCAAACACTGACTCCAGAACATCATTCACAAGGCCTCACTCGAGGTCTCCAAGTTATACACACCCATTAAAATAGTGCTTTAGAGTTTGTCCCAGTAAAAATCTACAGTACTGCAAAAATCTGGCGCTAACACGTGCCTCAGGGCCAGGAATTATTATGCAAGAGATGCTCTGTGAAGCTATAGTCAAAGTTTGCTTGTATGTTTATGTTCATACACAGAAAACAGAATCTTATCCCCTTTTAAAATCATGGACACATACTGTTTCCTCCTACTATCTTGAGAATGCGTGTTGGAATAGTTTCTCACAGTTCCTGAACCATAGATATAAGCATAACCATAACAGTGTTTTATAAGTATGACTCGACAGTGTCAGAAAAGCTTTGCAGATGTGTTCTTGTGACAACTCCCGCTGTCTGGGAGGGAAAGTATTACAGAAATGCCTTCGCAGTTTGGTGATCCTTTTTGTTTTGAAAGTGGTCCTCAGGCTGTGTCTTTCTTCCCACAGATCTTCTCATACTAATAAATGTCTGCTTTACATTGAAGGCTGCCCCACATGAGAAAAAGGCTGAATAAAGTGGGTGATTTGCACCAAATAAAGACAGATATGTAGCTGCCTCCAAAGTGTTTAAGTCTGGTTATTTTATCAGATTTTTATGGTTGACTGCAGGAGGGACAAAACAAGTGGAATGTTTTTAAAGTGCCAAAAGGCAAAAAAGAAAACGTCTCGGTCTTAAACAGAGCTTATCCTGTAGATGATAATAATATTTGTCTGTCATCGGCTTCAGTCGAGTGGTGGTGCTGAGTGTCTATTGGCAATGAAGCCACATGCAATTCATTGACATGGCTCTAATGCTTTGTCTCTCAATAGATGGATGGTTGCTCCATCCAATAAGTTGTGGACGATTGCCAGTTTCAGCTTATAGGAAGGGTGATGTAATGTTTATTCAACATAGGACTATTTCACTTCCCTGTCAAAGCACGAACTCACCTGAGTTTATTCAATCCCCAAAGAATCCTCGGCTGCTGCAGGGGTGAAGAGACAATGATCGGTCTGTGGGCGGTGGGCAGGGCAGCTGGGACGGCTCTACAGACACTGATGGTGGGGATAATGAAGCATATTAAAGAGCCACTCCGATGAAAATCACGTTTTTCTTGTTGTCTACATGTTCATATGGCGTTTTTCTGATGCTACAGGACATATCATGAGGAAATTAAATCCGAAATTGCTTTTCTGAGTATTTCTGCATTTAAAATTGATGTGAATCTCTGGCAGACCCAAACGGCAGGTTAAGATACAGTAAGATTTCCTACGTAGCAAATCCTAGCTCCGCCCCCGGAGCCCCACTATGCAGGGCAGATGATCACGGAACAAGCGCGTGCGTCGGCGGTTTGCCATGCTTGTAAGAACGCTAACAATGATGTTTTACTTTCAACATGTCCCTAAAGAGATTTGTGTCTGAGAGCTGAATAGTTCCGATGTTACCTACCACTTCTACTACACTGGCAATGTTAGGCTGCAAGCTAGCATGAAGACGAGTGTGCAGAGCAGCGCTGTCTCCGCCCACAACTTAGAGGCGAGTCGCTAATGAGCGACTGGAGCTCTGCAGAAGAAAAACGCTTGAAAATGACACAGGTAACGTGGTTTTAGCTAAAAACTTCATAATCACAACTTAAAGACCACTAATAACACTTAAAGTAGTTTTAAAAAAAAATCAAAGTGGGACTTTAATAACTTGAGCAACTCAGGGAAGAGGTGGGCAGGGAAATAGATGCTTCACTGAATACAGAGACAAAAACAAACTAAAAGAGGTGGGTTTAGACTTTAGTTTTAACAGTGAAGCAAATGCAAAAAGTGGTTTTATCTACATTCCTTTGTACAACTACTACAACTACAGGGTTGGCTACTTGCTCCACAATGAAAGACAAGTAATATTATAATGAAAATATATTATTTTCTATGACACTGCATTAGGTGAAATTATCAGTTTTCACTGCGGTGGTGGCCCATAGACCAGGGTAGCTTTGACCATCTGTTCAAGTCATCAATAAAACTGACTCCCCATGAACCAGGTCCTTACAATATGCATAAAACAGGACAACAACCACCGGTGAACCTTGACTTAGGCTTGATATTGATACTTTTTTTTCTATAAACTTGCTAACTGTATTCTTGGCTCCAATAAAGTGAGGTCCCTAGAATGTGGTTGCAAATACAAGACCTCACAACGGGTGTAAAACAAGTTTACACATGTCCATCTGTGTGTTGGTCTTTAGTGTCAGAGGTGTCTACAAGGACTGATTTAGACCAAGAGATTTTCCATGAGCTTTCTTGCTTTACTTTAGACCCTAAACAAGGTTGAGTCCAAAGTTTGTAGTTTTAAATAAAGTTTCCACAATGTGTGTAAAACAGGTAAACATATTCTCCTCCTTTGCAAATAAGAGAACCATCTATAATCTGCTTATTTCTTTTTATATTGAAAGGTGATCAAATAAATCTCATAAGACTGATCAGGACTGTTAAATTTCCTTATAGCTTTTTAGCTCCAGCTTCTACCATCTGTATTTTCTCACATAAGTCCCCACATTGTGAGTATGGTGTGTGCACATATCTCAATCAGTGCTGTAGGAGCACAGAAGCTATTTGCAATGACTAATTAAGACCACCGACACCGTGTAAGTTTCCAGTTTCACTCCCCAGGATGTCGTTTTGAGCGATGGTCTCCACAATGTATGTAAAACAGGTGTGCATTAAACCCTTTTTCTGTAGATATAAGGGTGTGAAAAGTAGTTTTGCTTTGAGCTCTAAAATTATATGTCTGTGCCGTACCAAATACTTCAGATGATAGGAGTGGTCCTCGCAAGCATTCATGTAAAACAATATGAAAGGAAATGATATCTCTGTAGCTACTAGACTTGGCTGTGTTTCATCAGAAATATGCAAAAACTTCAGATAAACATGTTAGCGCTCTCAACAACAACAAGAGCCGGTGACGGGGATGATATTTTGATAAGAATTTATTCGCTGTGTTCAAACAGATCTGTCTTTTGAAGTGAGATTAAATGAATGACAGGAAAATTGAGAGAGGATGCCAAAGTGGATGAAAAACAAAAAAATTGGATGTCACACCTATTGTTTTGGTACGCAGTGTTCAGGCCAAACCGCAAGTCTTAGCAGGAGGGAGGGAGGACAGTGGACTCAGAAAAAACAGGTCAGTGCACAAATGCTTCAATCCCAGCTTCTTCTACCGAACATAATCCTCGGTTTTATTGTTTTATTTGGCAGGTTAGACTCTGAAGCTACTCCAGCAACCAACACTAATGTCACTGCCGCACTCTGCTGAGTATTATTGCCGCCTTTTTACTACGAGTGATGCTGTTGCTGCTGCTAATGGTTGCTACAACCTGTGCTGGCACTTGGCTGTCTATTTATGCGACAAACTCTTACGTTGATTACACTTTTACACTACACATCCGGCCATTTTTGCAAAATTCGTCACTGCTTTGATCGCTGATGCTACTCCCACTGGTGTGCTGTTTGCTCTGGAATTAATGGTAATCAATTCAAAGGCCTGCTAAACAAATGGTGTAATTTCTCTGAGACAGCAATTCTGAAGTTCTACAGAGATGTAAAGGTGAGATTTGAGGGAAGTTTGTTCACAATGCAACACGTTGATGTCACAGGCAGTAGAATCATCTGTGGCTTTAAAGGGATATTCCGGCGTAAAATTAAGTTCAGGTCCAACAAACCGTAACACAGAGTTAGACACCCCCTCCATAGATGAATCTTGCCGACCGCTTTCCTCTCTAGTTAAACCAACTTTAGTAACGACCGCACGATAGCAATACAGAAAGCCATGCACTCAACCAAAAAGCCACTCTATAGCCACAAATAATGCTCAGAACAGCAGCTAACTTCATCAACAGTACATATAGGGTCCTAGCCATAGTACTAGCCACCAAACATCTTTTCGACTTTGCCTGATTTCTTTTGCAAAGAGACTAAACACAACTCACCTACTCTCCTCCAGCAGCCACTTGTTTGTATGGAGACTTCCGGGGAAGTTAATCTCATGCACCGGGGATGTGCAGCTCAAGGAAGAACATTTATGATCATTACTTTATTATTTCCTTGAAGTAATAATCACCTTCTGCCTTAGCGTCTCGGTCTGATTGCATTTCCATGAGGTAATGATCATAAATGTTCTTCCTTGAGCTGCGACACCCCGCTGTAGTCGATGGACTTGCCTGGAGGTCTCCGTACAAACAAGTGGCTGCTGGAAGAGAGAGGGTGAGTATTGTTTGCCAAAGTAATTAGGCAAAGCTAAAAAGATGTTGGGTGCCTAGTACTATTGCTTGGACCCTATATGTCCTGTTGATGAAGTTAGGTGCTGTTCTGAGCATTATTTGTGGCTATAGTGTTTTTTTTATTGTGCGCTTGGCCGTCTGTATTGCTTTCTGCGGTCGCTACTAAAGTTGGTATAACTAGAGGAGCAAGCGGTCAGCAACATTCATCTCTCGAGGGGGTGTCTAACTCTGTGTTACAGTGTGTTTGACCCTGACTTAATTTTATGCCGGAATATCCCTTTAACAGCTCATGATGTGACAGACGTTCTGCAGACAAGAGCAGAGCATGAAAGTCACAACTTCTTCTGAAATACAATATCCAGTCACAAAAGAGTTAATTGCAATATATCCCAACGTATAATACTTTAAATTGCAGAATCTCATTGTGGTGTAATGACTTAAGAATTTTAATATCATATCATTGAGTAGCTGGTGATCCCTACCCTTAGTTTCTCCATTCATAACCGCTCTAAAGATGTGGTTTTTTTTCCCCAAACATATGATCGCTTCACAGAACCCTGAGTCTTCAAGTTATGCATAATTATGGGCGTCGCTGGTTTGATTGACAGGCTGGTACAGCTAGCTGTCTGCTTGGTGCCACCTCAGCGATGAGTCACTGAAATTAACCCATCAGTCATGTTCGTGATGTTGGTGCGTATAGCAGCAGACTTACAATGGACTTCACCACCACCGCTGCTTGACAGTACTGAGGATCTCAAGAGCACTCCTTCCTACAACTTTATTTTCGAATACAGATCAAAACAAGATGAGCTGGAGGAAGGGAGGGAGGAGAAATATGGAAATGGAGAAAATGAGGCATAAGGGGGGTTGGCAGTGTAATGAGGGGTACAAGTGTAAGTGGGGTCATGGGTTTAGCATTGCTCAGTCATGTTCTCATGCGGCGTTGCTACAGGCGGAACTGTGCCAAGTTGAGGCTCACGCTTTATGTAATCTTTAAGAGGTGGAGTGTCAAGCTCTGCTCAGAATCAAACCCGCCTTTGTTTAGCAAAACACTTTCTAATCTGTGACCTCTGAATATTATAGACATGTATTTTAAAGGAATTCGACAGCACCAGGTAGACTCGATGCATCCCTAAATGTTAACTCAGTTTCCACGGTTACTGAGGTACCGCAAAAAGGAGGCGGAGTTAATATTTCGATATGCAGGATACTGTATTCTTAAATTAAAGGCATATTTCTGAGCAGGTCTGCAGCTCTCTGCTTTTGGATTGGTGCATGAAAATGTCACAGTCTGACTCCGAGCCATTAGTTCCAGGCCCATCTGAATGACATAACCATTACATCAAAGTCCACTGTGTATTCACCTCATGTTTAAAACTCAGACTCTTCAGATTATAATGCTGCTTTGAAAGATGAGAGACACGTTTTCACAACTACAACTTTGCTGAGTCTGCATGCTTTGGCACAGGACAGCTAAGATCAGAACCTTTGAACCAAACGGTGCAATTTCAAAAATTAGAAAGCTGTCATGATATGTTCTGTTAAGGTGTGTTCCTGGTTTTATTTGAGTGCATTCTGTGTATTTTCTCCTGGTGTTTCTGTTCCCCTGTAGTCCAGTCTTGTGAGTTTTCAGTTTGTGTTTGACTCTGTTTCCCTCCTGTTCTCTGTAGAGGTAGAAAACCACTGATTCTGTATTTAATGTTGGAAATCCTTGGTCTCATGACTCCAGCTGTCTGCTCTAAACTGGACTCTAAAGATGCCACCGGTGGGTTCAGGAGGGAGCCAAACGTGGACCTGAAAGCACAAGTCTTCTTCTTCTGCTGTCTTTGCTGTTTGGTCTTTGTCCTCTCTTTTTTATGGCGGTTGGCAACAAAAAAAGCTGCTACAGCTCCACTTTGAACAAATAAGATACACAGTTTGACTGTATGCTTACTTTTCACACAATAACAACATGTCCTTTTTGAAGAAAGGCAGAAATTGTCAATATCAGCACACACACGCTGTTAGATGCATCTATATTTACTTTTATGGTTGAGCAACCCCTTCACTTCCACCCTTGTCTTAAGAGGTTTTGCAGTCAAAAGATATTTCTGTACATAAGTTGCACTAAACATGAGATGGAGTACACACCAAACAGTCACAACAAATGTGGAAAATAACAAATAGTCCAGAGGAAAGTGCATATTTGGACAGAGTGTAGAAATTTACAAGCAGTCCAAGCAAAGTTTGAGTGCATGTTCTTTATTACGGCAATAAAATCCAAGAGAGGATCCACTGACCTGATTCTGTGTACATGCTGACTTAGCTTCAGAGTTTTTCTGCAAAACATCCAGTGCAAATAAATCACAAAAATGAGAGTAATATAGTAAAGAAAGTAAGACAGATTGTCTTTGGTTGGGTATCAAATCCAGACCATTTTTCATCACTTTTTAGCAAGTGCAATGAGGGATTACAAGCAAGGCTAGAACTCACCAGTGACCAATCAGGTGTCTTGGCTGCATCTGTGAGTTGTATAAGACGCTGTGTGGTCTCATCCTGAGAATGAGATCGAGCATGTTCAGCCTCAGAAGACGCAGAAATGGCTCTAAAAGTATGACAGGTATGATAAACTTTCCTTTACCCATCCAGTTGGAGTGTAGGTCCAAATAGCTCACAGGGGGGAAACAGTTGCTACAGGTGAAAATAAATAAAAGTCAACCACAGTCCAATCCTTCAAGGACGCCCGTTCAGGGGGTTTTAGGGTGAGGAGTTTTCAAGTGGATCTGAAACTATCTGAAATTAATGCTGATGCATCTTCAGCAGTTTTCAGACAAATTTCTGTAAATTTCAGGAGCTCTGACTCGGATATTTATCTAACTCTACTGTTCACACTTAACATCCTCACAGCGTGAAGCCTGTGTGTTGGAGAGAGGAGCGAAGGAGGGATCTCAGGCTGATCTTCAAAAACACTGCAGGATGTAATGTTTTACAATATTGTCCAAGATCCTGATCCTTCCACATCTTTTATTTCTATTTCTCTTTACTTGGTTGACTTTACCTGATTTCCTTTCAACCCCAAGTATCTGTGTTTTTGCATAAATTCAGAGCCGTGTTAATGTGAACGATTGCATCAAACATTACTGTCAGATCCAGAACTGTGAGTGACAAGATCTCAGTTCAGCATTGGTATTATTTTGATCCTAGCTGCCTTCCTTGCTCACATAAAATGACATGTGTTTGTCTCTTCTGATCCACTGCGTAGATGAAGGGTCAACATTTTCAACGGGAAGCACTTCTCCGCCTTTTCTCTTGTTGAGGTAACTGGTCGGGTTCCTCAGGACTTTTGTGTCCTCTGCGCTGGATCACCGAGCAAAACAAGGGAGGGAGGAAGTGTATCCTCTCTACTTCACGGTTCGTCTTTTTTAGCCCACGTGGCTTTCTCCTCGCCACCTCATGTATGGAACCTTTTCAGAATCAGGATGCCATCACTTTTGAAAACAGAGAGGCTCATTTAGCAATTTGCACAACTTCTAGCATGCACATTCGTCAAAGTTGTGATTGCTTTTACATGCTTTTAGCAGTGCAGAGAACAGAAGTTTGAATGTCTGAAAGGTGGTGCTAAGTGCAATCCCAAGAGGCTTTATTCACTGGTTCAACTCCGATACACAAATCTACACTGCATGTCTTCCTCCCTTGTTGACTATTCAGTTGACTGAACAAGTGAAGTGTCTTTTAAAGGACATGAGTCCAACCACAAACCCTGCATCGGAGCACCCACACCTGAATTCATGTCACAGTTGAAGAACCAGGGCTCCTCTCCCTGCTCAGGACAGCCCTGGTCTCGGAGTGATTCCCCCAGCGACCCTTACAGTATGCTGAGTGAATCCCTCTAATCTTGTTGGTCACGGATTAGAAAAAGCTTCAGATTCTTGTTTCCAGCTTTGGTTAATTTGGTGACCTTATCACTGCATACTGTTATTTTGTGGACACCGTGTCTCCAAACAGGGCAGGTCCTGATTAGCTGAGAATGTGCGGGACACGCCGGTGAACGCCCTCTTGTTTTGCTCCACAACACCGTCCACCTCCCTGCTCAGTTTATGTTAAGAGTGATCTGACAGCATGTGGAGCACATGTGCCGGCCGGCCGGCAGCGGTGTCATGAGGTGTGTGTGCAATGTCACTGTCAGATAGTCGGGAGCTGCCTAACACTTAAACGCTTTTATTCTGCAGCAGCTTTTAAAAACAGAAGATCAGAACTTGCTGATATTGAAGATGAAAGTTTGCTGGTGAATCATCTAATCAGCAGAGTTTGTCTCATTAAGAGCAGCACAATATTCTGGCAAACTGAATCCACCTTGAGAGCCGGTTATAAGTTAAAAAAAGGAAATTGTTGCAGTGTGGTTTGGCACTGCCAGGTGGTCCCTCTCGTCTTTATAGTAGAGAACACAGCATTGAGAAGTCTTTCTGAGCCCATGCAGCGACCTCCACTACAGAGTCATGTCTTTTTTTAAGATAGTACTGTCTTGGGTCCAGGAGATCATGACCACCCAGCACTGGTTTTGTACAAATATCTCCCCAGATTATCTGAATTATATTATGTAACGTATAAAATTCCCCAAACTCTTTGCAGTTCTACGCTGAGGAGCTTGATAATGAAATTGCTCATGCAGTCTCTCACAAAGTGGTGAACTCCATCCTGTCTTTACTTCCAATGACTTTGCCTCTCTGTAATATCATTTTGTACCATAACCTGCTGCACATAAACCTAATTCGTCAGGAGCTGTTCCTCTAGTTGATTTTTCAGCGCTCTGTTTTTTGCAGCTAAATTCCAGAGGATACAGAATGGCTGCGCTTCGCTCCAGAATGCCAGCCTGATCAAATACGCAAGCATTATGATGTACAACGCGTGTGATTCCACACAATGTGTCTGCAGTTTGGGCTCCGCTGCGGATCGGATAAGTTCTATTTTTGCTGGACGCCGCAGCACAATGCATTTTTTCAGTGCAGCGCAGCACGGGGGCAGCGGAAGTTGTGTGCATGTTGTATCTCATTCAATGTCTCATGGTGGAATGTGCAAGATCTCGTGAGATCTTGTCCAGTCTCGTGAGAAATATTGGTAATATTGAAAGTGCTTCTCCTCCACTTGCGGCAGTGGATCGGATCTGCATTTGGTGGAATCCCAAAGTTAGTGTTTTGTCCTTTTTCCGGCTGCGTTTAAAAGTGTTACTGACAATGAGTTAAAAAATATACATTAAATATATTTTCATAAACCGATCATTTCCAGTTTCACCGTCTAATACATGTTCTTTACTTTGTTTTTTGTTAAATTAAGGTGATCTATGGAACCATGGACATCTGTTTACATTTTCTGGACTGGGTTTGAAGTTGAAGGCAGATCTAACAGTCTTCAGGGTTTATCTGAACAGCAAATTTAAGATGCTTTAGCTTTATCAAAAGTTGGAACAGTCTATAATGATGCTGTAAGGTCCTTTTTATCTGCAGAAATAATGTGTTTTTTAATCCTTCAAAGCTGCACCGTTTACTGCCTGATTTAAACAGTTGTTAACCCAGACAACCAAAGAATGAAAGATGGTTTATATTTCCAATTCTGGACAAATGATTTTTCGTTAGATAAACTGTCTCACATGTTGAATATCACTTTCAGTTGCTCACTGTTGGACTCTTGCAGCTTCTTTCCCCTCCTGCAGCACACTGATCATGATTGATTGTTGGGAAAAAGTGGTAATGTTGCAGCGCTGGAATGCACATTACATCAAGATTCTCACACCCCTACGAAATTCCACCACGCCGGTGAGTCGAGGCGTCACAGACGGACTTAAAATACGCCTGGAATCTGCATTAATTCATGGTTAAAAGCACAGGGAGGACTTGTTGCTCTCTGTTTATAGAGAGATCTCCCGGTTGCATCTGTTTTTGTCTTGCCTCCACCGCTCTGAGTCTGAGTCCATTTAAAGGCAGCAAAGCAAACATGGTCTCTTTCATGTACAAGCTTTCAGGCCTCTGTTCTGGACCCATCTATCTCATAAAATAAAGGTTGGTGACACTTCACGGGCTGCTGAGTCACATTAGAGAAGAGCCTGGAGGACGGTGCTGCAGTGTAATCAACTGAAACCTCAGACACCAACTTTACCCACCTTTTTACACGTTAATTTGAACATCCCCTGGGTTTTCTTTCCTCTAATTTGGACAATGTTTTATTATTCTCTCTTCTCCATCTGCAAATAAACAAACTAAGCCGCCCAGTGATGAATGGTAATGCCCTGAGCTTTGTCCGCGATCCCTCTGTCTGGTGTTAATTAGCGCTCAGGGGCTGACCATGACGTGATACTGGGTCTGATGTCATGGAGTCCAGCAACCTCGCAGGTCAGACGCCACATTGCACACTGCCGCTTTGATGCTCAGAAACATTGACTCATTTGTTTCAGTCCTTGGGTGGCATTGGATATCATCTTCCTGCACATCCTGTGAATGTTTGTTCTCAGAGATATTCGACTGTTCCCGTTTGTCCGGATCTGCCAGGTGGCAGGAGAGTGATTCCCTCCCAAACAGACAACAGATTTTTTTTTTTTTCTTTCTCAGCAGACGGGACAACAACAGTTGCTGTAGTCACAACAGAGCTTGGAAACACTTCTTCTTTTTCTCATAGCGTGTAATTACAAGACAGTTTAGTTGTTTAACTTGTAATGACATTGTTGGGGCGGTTAAGGAATGAATCTAATTTGTCTATAAAACAAAGCAGAACTAGCGAAGCTAAGAAATGAAACATTTAGCTTCCCCAGATGAATTACCCGAATACCTGAGTCCAAACTTTAATTCAATCTCCAGCTCATGTTTTTTTCATTTGTATTGAATGAGGGCTTTACTCCTCAGCTGTAAAATTCTGACAGGCTTCATATTACAGTTAATACTTAAGTACTGTACTGACCTGAATATGAGGCAGGGTTTTTTTTCAATCCTAAAACTACAAGTGAACTGTCTCACAGTCAGGGTTTTTAAAGTCAACCTATTAGATCATGTTTTGTCATATTTACAGTATCAGTTCTACGAGGTGAGCAGAGACTTGTTTTGAAATCCACTCCCTTTGTGAGGCCGACAACTTTCAGAGAAGAAAATAAATGGGCAAAATTTCTTGGTCCGATTAAAAATTTGAGAGATCTGAAAATCTGAATCCACTGTTTATATGGGCGCAAAATCTAATGATCCGATCATGACGTGTGTACATGTGTCAAGCTTTATTCCGATTAGAAGCATTTGGACATGCGCAGAGTTGTCTAATTCCGCTAAAACAACCGCAAAAGAAGAGTTGTATTGATGCCTGTGCTGTCAACAAACGCGGTAGTGGCTCACTTCCATCAAGTTTTCTCCCTGTTAAATGTTGTCACTAAATGGCGCCCTTGCTTACTTATCATTATTACGATTTATGTATGCCTTGTTATGTCATCGAAGGAGCAGACATGGCTCTTGCAGTTGTGTTTTGTGCCAGAGTGTTGATAATGAAACCTCTTGTACTGACCTCAAGAAATAGGCCAAAGGCTAAAGAGTGAAGACCGAGTCAGGTTAGAGAGTCACGATTGGAATAATGTTTACATTGATCGGCATTAACCTCCCCTCTCGATCAGACTACAATTTCTTTCCAATTGAGCCGAATTGGATCAGAATCTTTCAATCGACATGTTGACATGATACAGTTTTATTCTGATCAGGCATTTATTCGGATTATTTGTGTCCATGTCAACGCAGCTACTGTGTTTATGTAACATCAACACGCTTAAGCAGATCTCTCAAAAATGAAGATACTCTGTGATGACTTCCAAACAAGCCTAAGTGAAGAAGTCTTGTTCATCGTTACCTAACTAGAATATACAGGCTGATTGTATCAGCTGACCCGAAAAGGTCCTACGTGGATTGATCGATCAACAATCTTTATTTATATAGCACCATTTCACAACAACTATTACTTCAAGACACTTTCCAAGAAGATCATACTGTTCAATTTTATTCACAAAGACCCAACATCAACATAGGATAAAACTGAGTCCCAGACCTTCTCTGATGCCGTCCAAAACTAGCATGAGTGTCACACTTTGCAGCATTTACCAAGTTGGAGTGTAGAAGAAAAACTTCCTATAAACAGGCAGAAACCTCGAGCAGAACCAGAATCATGTTGGACAGTCATCTGCTGAGACTGTATTTGGGTTGGAGATAGAGAGATGAGACAAATAACAACAAGAGTTGTATTAATGTTTGTGTTGGTTCGTGGTCATTCAGTGTTCTGTGATCGTGCAAATTTGTTGTCTGTTTGTTTTATGGTCCCACAGAATCATACCTGCCTCTTGGTTTCCTGCTGTGTTTTATCAAATTTTTTAAAAAAAAGTTATCGATAGAATAATTGACAAATTGTGAGCCTGGATGTTTCCAACTAGTTTGAACATGGGGTTTAATTTTTGAAGATCTTTAAAGTCATTTTAGTTTTTATTCAACTGATATCATTTTGTAAATCCAGTCTGTGATTGCTGAAGGAATTGGATTGTTTAAAAAGTTGATATTTGGGAAAACATTGAGGGAAACCTTCGATAATTCAATCAACTATAGAGCATTTAACTCTCAGGACATGCACATAGCTTTGTATTTTCTTTGTGTATATGTAGTGAGCATGTGCACGTGTTGCATGCATTTCTTTGTCTACCTCTGCATGTAAGCCCAGAGCTCTCCCTCCATCTTCAAGCTCTCTGGCTCCAGTTGCCTCTTGTTGAACCACAAAAGCCCCGTGACTCTGCCAACGAGCCGGCACATATCTGCTTGCAAAGTATTTGCAACATTTTTTATTCAGGTGTCTGTAGTGACAGCAACGCTGTCTTTGCTGGCAAGTTGGCTCCAACGTGTGTCAGAGCAAGCAGGAGCTTGTGCAAGGCACCTGATCAGCGTACCAGTCAACCGAAGTGTCAGTTGTAACGAAAACGATAAAAACAGTTTAAGAGAGCACAAAGGGGGTGTCAGGCTGCCATGTAGGACTAAGGTTACATGTTGGACGGCGAGGTTGACTGAAACACGGTTAAAGCATTTCACTATGACAACTTCTATTGACGTTTGTATTGTTCATCTCAGGTATCACTCGTACTGTCAAACAGCTGCAGGAGAGAAAAACTTGCAGAGATTTGTCAAGCATTTCCCAGCTTGTGTTTGATTGCAGCCAGACATGTTTCACATAGAGAAGTGCTTACACAAACACAGACACTAACTCCACAAGCCTGAGCCTTCAAAATAATCCAATTAAAATGTGTTTTTCTTTCTCTTTGCATCTGCTGTGAGGACCATCAAACAGCTCCAAGATCACTTATCATTTAAAGGTGTTTGCATGAAGTTCTGGCAGCATTTGGGGATAAATTTGGGATTTAATGATTGCAGAAAATAGAAAATCTACAACTTACTTTACTTCTTCTTTAAGTTATAGAGTTTAACATGTTAGAACACTCATTTAAAGACACTGACAAAATTAAAACATGCTGCAATTTCAAGAAAAACAGAGTTTACTCACCTTTAGCTTTACTGTTGTAGCAGGTAATAGGTGATATTACAAAAACTGATTTTATTGCATCAGTCTGAATAAAACCAGACTGTTAAGATCCATGTTAGTGTGGCTGTAATTGCAGTGCAATTGATGAAAGTTTCCAAAGCAACATCATCTCGTGTCAAACATCTGCACACTCACTCTCAAACATTGGTGAAATTGTTGCACTTTTAAAAAGAAACACAGTCTTATATTAAATCATTCACATCACAAACTTTCATTTTCCATCTGGTTTTATTTTTTCTTTGAACGGTTTTGGTTTCTGAATATGGAAAACAGGGATCTTTTAAGAACCTGGGGATAAGTTCAGGTTCCGTAAATATGTAAAATGGTTATCAAAGTGGATAACAGATATAAAGTTGAGCGTAACGGAGACTTAAAAAGCTGAACTCAACAGAAACCTCTTCATGAAGCAGCTCAAAGTCTTCATTTCAGCCCCGTGTTTCCCTCTTTTCTGCTTTGCTTATCATTTCTATCTGGATAGCCTCTCGAACATGCTTTGTCATACAGGTAGAGTTCAGGTATGGGATGTATTAGCCGTCTCTTCGGGCTAACACAAACTTTGAACATCACAGAGCACCGAAAAGGACAAAAGATCCAATGTCATCCAAACTAACGTGGGTTTTTCTATTTTCCTTCTGATGAGTGCAGCAGGCAGGGAAGATCACTGCAGAAATATGTTAATATTTTCTTTTGCTATGGTCAAATATTGAATCTATCCCCACCCATTTTTGATATGGCAGTTGAGGCATGGTGTCGGGTTTACACAGTGATGTTAAATGAAAGCATATTGTGTTTGACAGGCTGTTTCGTTTTTGGGTTGAATTCTGCCAGAGGAAAAATCTCCATGTGACGACTCTGTCAAAGAAGAACAATAAGGCTGTGATGAGTATGACATAATATTTTGGTTGTCACAAGTGTTTCGTGGCGACAGCGGGTTGCAGAAGTGAAGGATTCTGAATGGAATTTGAGAGGAAGAGCATTTGTCGCGTGGGGGAATAAAAGAAACCAGCTGAAGACTGAAGACAGACAGAGCATATCAAGACAAGTCACAAAAGTAGACAGAGATCAAGTTCAGACATTTCTTTAGGCTTAAACTCCAAAGTGGTGGTGAGTCAGGAAATCAGACCCCAATGCTGATGTTAGTGAGTGTGCATTCAGTTTAGAATTTTGAGCAGCTTCACTTTACTGTTAGAAAGCCTCTTTATTTTAACACTCTTCCCAAATATGTTCCTCCAGCTGCAGTGCACCGATCATCTGCTCGAGGTCATCTTCAAAAAGGACAAAAAACAGAAAACAAACCCACGTGCATACAGATGGAATTTGAGGCAGATTTGTTTTAAAAAATTATCTCCACACTTACAGACTGAATGAATATTTCTCTGTCTGCACAAACAGGGATGAAAATTTGGGACTAGTCCTTCCCATCAAACACCAGTAAAGAACATTTTGTGCATTTTAAGGGGGCAGCAATAATTACATGAATCATGTTCTTCAAACTGTGGTTTTATGGTGGAGTAGTTGTGTTTCTTTGTAAACACAGAGTTAAACTGGAGCTGCCATCTTAGTGCATGTGCTTTACAGACAGTATCATAAACTATTACCATGCACAAGTTGAGGTAGAGTCTCAAAGAACTTTAGTTTTTACTGTTCAGACAAATATAGTTAAGGCATTTTAAAACCTCATGTCAATTCTTTATAAAACTAACTTTATCAGATTATTGAAGGAGTTTTGAACGTTCACATTTGCACATACGCAGTGAAATACTCTCATTTGGAGCTGCACATTGTGGTGAAGTTAGGGTGACCATATTCTGAATCCTCGGGTCGAGTGTTTTATATGCGCTTCCAATTCAGTAAGTCCACGGTACGCAAACTCAAAACCTCCATACAAAGCCCAGACATTTGAAGGATTTTATAAACTTCCCCCCAGACAGGCCGGACAGCCCCCCAAAAGAAGGCATGTCCAGGTAAAAAAAGGACGTATGGTCACCCTTTTTTAACAAGCACAATACGCTCATATTCATCTGCATGTCAAGAACCTTTTAATACCAAGTATTTCAAGAGAAAAAATGTCTTAAAAGTGTATCTCCATAAAACAGAAAAAAAAGTAAAGTAGAAATTCCAAGAAAAACAAAGAAACAGGAAACTTGGCTCTGAGTCAATGAGATATGAAACAGAGAAATGGAAGCAAATCATAAAATAATCTCAGTAGGTGTTTCTCTTCTCTCCCCCCTCATGTTTGAAACAACAGGTGATTTAATATGATTTAAAACCCCTGACTGTTGCAGCACCAATTAGCTGGGTGTACATTTACATGTGTCTGGGCCTCATGGACACTCGTAGATCATACTGACTCAAGTGGGAGCTGTTTGGCCTGGAGCTGCATGAATGAATTATGACAGTTTCCAGCTCCAACTTGGAGGGCCCCCGTGTTCAGGGGATGAATCAAGTTCTTACATCGCCAAACTGTCCATCCCAACAAATCACCCCGCACTCGGCTTAAAACCGTATATTTCTGCAAACAAGAAGTGGGTGCAGTGACACTCGCTCATTAATTTTGTTTAAGGGTAATAAAAATGTACGATGGTCGTTACTTTATGATGACTGATGAATACTCTGTGGTTAAAGTTGTGTTTCTCTATGACAGATTATTTGATTATACTCGAGAAAACCATAATGTACAGTAGAAATGTATATACTGTATCATTCTTAGAGTACTGATTAAGTTGCAAAAGAAGGAGATAGGAACTAAGGGAACAGCTTTTATTGAACAGGTGCATGCTCTGATATATTCCTTTATAAGTACAGTATAAACTCATATATATACACTATAACCCACCTGTTTCAATCTAACTTAAAGATAAGAAAATACCTGAAATACTAAAGTTGAGCAAAAATTTCAACTGGATGTGATTTTAAAAATCTGATATTCATATTTTGGTGTGTTGTGTAAAACAGGGAGCATGTCCACAAATCCAAATCTAAAGGACATCAGTTGACTTTGCTTAAAGGTGGGGTAGTCAGGATCTGAGGAAGTGCCAGTTTTTAGGAGAAATCTTGAATGTAAACTCTACCCCTCCCAACCAGTTTTCCCCTCAGCTCCTCCCTCTCTTCTCCCGCAAGCCCCGCCCACAAACAGACGCGCCTGCTCGCTCGTATCGTTCCAATTAAGTTCAGATATAATGCAGATAAATACTTCAGATAATTACAAATGGAGCCCAGTCAAGGTGAAGTAAAAAGCATTGGTGCTACTGTAGATGCCAACAGACTACCAGCAAACACAATGTTTGCAGGACTTCTACAACGAGGATAAAGTGACATAGTCCAGGACCCGAGATAAACAGTTTAGCGGCGCTACAACACGCTACAGCAGGTCCGTTTGACAAGAAACACTTCTGTTACAGACACTTGCCTTACTTTGTTGAAGCGGTTTACCTGAGTCTCCGGTATTTAGTTTGTTTTCTATCTTGTGTTGGTGGTCGTGGCCAAAGGAGGATTCAGACAATTTTTAGAACTTTCTGGTTGGTTTCTACTGTCCGATATTGTAGCACGCTAACTTTGTTTGGGCTTTGTTCACAGTCAGAAAGAGTGGAGCGCTCTGAAATTTTAAAATGTTGACGACACAGACAAGACAAAACACAGCGATATCGTTATATTACCAAATGTCATCAATAACTTATAGGTATTGACTGATATTTAAAGCTTTTTTTGTATATAAACCACTAATAATATGCTTCTGTAACGGATTCCTGCCTACCCCACCTTTAACTTACACCAACATCTTGTAAAAGAGGTGATACCATGATCACAGCATGCTGCCTTTAAGTGTTATCACCATCAGACTATCACTTTATTTTGCAGGACCGATAACCTGCTCATCAGACGGGGATTCTGCAGAGACAGACGCTGAAATTAAAAACATTGAAACTGACTCCGAGCTTAACATCCCGCTCCTCACAAACCAAGTGCTCTTTTTTCTTTCCTCCACACTATTTGCTAATGAGGGTCAGTGTAATTGTTGCAGGAAACACCGCGCTGATCAGAGGTGCAATTTGAGGGAAAATGAGGTTCTGTCGGATGACCTCATCCCTTTGGTCGGGCAGGCCGAGCCCCGAGGCTTTTCTGATTTGTCTTCTTGGGTCAACAGAACCACATATGTGGATCGAGAGAGTGCGTGCGCATGTGTTTGAGTATGTATGTGTGTGTGTGTGAGCGTCGCACACTCAAGTGATGTCAGCCCAGGGGAAAAAGGCCAGTGAGGATGAGTCTGGGTGAGGAGCTGAGCTGATTAGACCACCTACGAATGATTCAACGCCAATTCAGGGAGATTTAGTGGATTTTCGGTGGACTGGCTCCTCCGTCTTATCAAAGTTCTCAGAGCAGGAGTGCTGATTAGAGATCTTTGATTAAACAGGAATGTTGCTTGAATCATGTTTAATTGATAAAGGATGAGTAGAGTATCATTCCTTGGGTCTGTAGTGAGCCGTAAACTGGATTATGACCAACTCCTTCCCCGGGTTGGAAATCAGGGATAAATGATGTTTGATCACAGACCTGAAACCGGAGAAGTTTGATGTCTTTAAAACATACCTGAGAAAATCCTTTGTTAAAGTAACTGCATGGTATATAGCATGAAAGCTCCAAAATGGACACTCTGTTTGATCTCATGGTGCTCTGATCCAGTCAGGAAATTTTCACATTTCACATTTAAACGGGTGCAGACACAGAAAATGTTAAAAATGCAGTAATGATCAATTGTAGTGGTGTGTAATAACTCAGTGACAAAAATAAACCACAATATTTCTTCTTACACAGAGCTAGGTTGTCTTTCCTTATAAAGCATGATGCTAAGGCGATGATGAGCTTCCCTGGTTGGTTTCCTGAATATTCTCTGAAGGGGGCGGATGCAGACAGATGCAGACAGATGCAGACAGATGCAGAGGTGGAAAACACCAAAAGAAATATGATAAGTGCAGAATATTTGGGGGATTTTAGGAATCATGTTGGTGTCAGGGTTGTAATGTTGTTTGGGACAACAGACAGTTGAAATATGTAGAGAGCGGATTCTCTTCCTTCTCTTTATTTTTATCTATTTTACTCACATCCTAAGTTAGACTCCCATACAAGTCATTTTGATGTCATTCCACGTTCAATTTTGTGTTGTTTTTTTTTTTTTAAGAAAAACAAATTAACAAAATATTGACTGTTTTTTTCATTTTTCGTTTGTTCGTTTCCTTGTTATTATTCATATGAACTGAGCATATATGCAATTACAGTTAAACTCAAGCTAAATATCAAGGTTGTTCATTTGCCAGTTAAACGTGAATTGAGATGTTTGACATGGAGGCAGACTAAAATGGTGCTTGAGACAGTCGCACACTGCTGAAACCGTGTTTGTTTCTTACTGTTCCACAGTCAGTTATTGCTGTTTAGCAAAAAAAGCTACTGGTTCGAGAACCCTGAGGCTTGAGGCTGGTAACAAATACACTAGACTGTGGCTGCCCATAGTTTTGATATTTCACACATTAGTTAACTTTTTACTACAACAAACAGGCATCTCATATTTTAATGCACATCAGGGTTTGAGAATGGGGTTCAGTTGCTCCCTAATGCAAACCGTATTTAAGAACAACAACCTACTATATGTTTCGCCACATTTTTGTAGACTGTACAGAGATCAAATGGAGATACGGTGATGCAAACAAGGTGGTGCACATCAAAAAAACAAAGCTGACTGCATCTTCATGTGTCCTGCAACAATGTGGATAAATCACAAAGAGGCCAAACTCACCCATGATGCTGTGATCTTTTTATGAGGGTTAATGTTGAAGAAAACCCATTTTTGCGCTGATCCTTTTTGAGGTGCTCTGGGATGAAGTGGTCGGCACTAAACAGCACATTAACACCAACTGCAGCCGGCATGTTGTTAAAACTAAAAAGAAAACACATTTGTGCTGAAACAGAATCCGGACAGTGTGCCTGACTCTAACCTTTGACATCTCAAATTTCAGTTCAACTTGTCAGAATCAACAATCAGGAAGAAGGTTGATCTGAATTTTGTGTCTTTTAAAGGACAGTGTCAAGCGGATGGGCCCTTATGTCTGAGACCTTTCAGTGAATTACAGGTTTTCGCTTATCAATCTGTAATTAAATTATTCAGATATACGTTTTCTTTTTTAGATATGTATTTTTATAAACATAAAAATAAATAGTCCGATTCAGTGACTATAAAGCAGTGAACATTGGGCTAAATTGCCAGTTTGGTGCCAATTCTTCCTCAAAGAGGATGAGTAATACAACAAAACAAGTAATTGAAGCTTTGAAAAGTATCCCTTGTCCACTTATTTCACTCGCTTTGGTTCTCCTTTAATCATATCATATCTTTGATCCACCCACTTATCAGAAAATTAAAGGCTCTCTCTCACAAATTATCCATTAGTAGGGAAATGTGTGCACTGGACTGGTTATCCACGCCAAACCTCCACCATTACCAGCAGTGGGCGAGGCTTACAGGAGAGGAAAATGACCAGACTAAAGGTACACTCAGACTGACTCCAGGTCAGGGGCTGGGCTCAGATCTTTTTATCTGTTTCCCCCTGAAGGAGTGGAGTTTATGAATGAAGGAGTTTTTCAAAGAGACACAGATGACATGCAACAGTGATCAGAGGCCAGGATGTTGTCACACATACGGACCAGTTTTAACATTACAACTCTCTGAATACACACTCTAGACAGATCCATGAGACCACTATCTGGACTACAAACTCAAAGCCTGTCGTCGCGGTTTTATAGTGGTGATTCTGCAGACACCAGACCTTACAGAAACTTTATATCAGCATATTTGCTTGTTTGATGATGATGATGCTCCCCATTGTGCTCCCCTCAGCTGTCACTGTGAGTATTCTCTCTGAGACAGTATGGCCTTCAATTATAAATATAAAATATGCTTCATGTTCACCATCCAAGATCAGAAAGGCTCCTAATGGCCAGGAGCAGTAAAAATAGTCGCAGTGACGCCAGACACTTGAGGACGACTGGAACCAATAATCAGTCAGGGCAGGACATGAATCAGGACGCACCCCGAATCAGGGCCTCATGATGTCTGTTTCAGGGCGCCCAGGTTGGATTAGATGGGCAGACACAGCTTACTATAGGTCACCAAACATGATGGGGTGCTCACAGCAAGCGCGAGTAAAATCATCAACTCGCTTTATTCGTGCGAATCTCGACACGGGAACGAATAGTATTTACTTACTTCATTGGCGCGTCAATGGGAAATTTCAATCCCTGCCAATCAAGTGACAGACAAAGGTTATTTTTAAAATTTACCAGATAATCCGACCTCCTCTTTCACTTGCCTCCAGACGAGCTCCTTTTTATCCCGGATTCGATAATTGGAAGAAAAGTTATCTCATAAAACACTGACATGATCAGTTTGTCCTCCATTTTAGATACCGGTGAACAACCGTCCGTTTTCAAACGTCACCCGCCAACCTTTGTACTGTTTAGTTATCCCGACGTGAATATCCGCTCAAGATAAGACATTTTCAGCCCCGCCCAATTCGCGTCATTCGTGCCGCCAGAGTAGTAGGAGCGTCTCATCACGTCTTTGCATTGACTTTACATGTCATTCATTCGCGCGAATGATGTTACTTGTGCTCGGTGTGTGGAGACAATAACAGAGCTGATGTCTTACTTGAATGGTTGTATCCCAAACTAGAAAGAGGAAACTAACTTGGCATGTTTTTGTGAACCATTCATTAAAAAAAATCCTCTTTATTTGAAAAATCATCACCCTAGTCTCAAAGTGCACTGATCGAAAAGGTGCAGTTCTTTGTGCAGTTCCTGCAGCTGACTGTTAGATGGTAACTCGTCAGTTTCCTCCTCTCTGCACTCAACAAACATACGAAACCTGAGAACTGCCAAAACTTCAACCCCCTAATCTCTCGGCCTACATCACGGAGCAGGAAGCAGCCAGACAACCCTCCACCCAAAGCCAAGGACAAGCAGGAGAGCACACCTTGGGCTGTGGAAAGCAAACAGAGGAGAGAGGTGATCTATATGTCCCAAAGTGACCCCAGCACTCAGGGCTTGGCGAAAGTAAACAATGGCACTAACAGGCCCGTAATTGATGGCGCTGCTCTCTCTGATACAGTAAATAGATGTCAAACTGTGAGCGACCAGATCACAAAAAATTTGCAACACGCCAGGATTACAGAAAAATTCCTCACTTTGATCTTACACCACTCACTCTTTGATTCCCTGTAATTACTCGAAGCCGCCGCTCTCTTCAGCGGGGTTGAAGAAATGATGAATGGCCTTTAGCAGTTTCTTGAATTTTAAGTAGGATAAATGACTGTGCCGCAGTCTGTGCAAATAATGGTGGCCGAGAATGAAAGTGACATTTGATGTGAAACAGGAGAGACCATTACAGAACACCGATTTTACTGACTTTGGACCAACATTATTACTGTCGGTCAGCGTCGGCTCTTCTTTTATTTTTGCTGGTTTGAAATTGCTGTCACACCACCATGGTTCTGGCATCTGACACGATACAATCTGTGTAGGCTCTCACTCATCCGGGTCCTTTGATGATGGCAAAGTTCACATACTGGACTAGAGAAGACCACGAAGTTTGGAGAGGTGCTGAGACAGCATCCATGTCAAATTAAAAAACCACCATCCAGCAGAGGTGGTGGACTGGGACAGTTTTTATCACCAGCATATAATGTTGCTCTGAATTCCTTTCCAAATACTTCCACTCAGGACCAAAGATCATGTGACCCACCCTCAGGGGAACTAGACCAATGACTCTGCTAATGACTTCCAGGTGACCACCCAGATCATTAGCATATCAGACCTGAAGAGGCCTATCGGTGGAAAGGCTTCAAGGACTTCAACGAAGTCCAGCTGCCCCTTTGGATCAGGTCTTGCATTATTTTAAACCTTTACTGGAAGTGTGTGTGTCTGTGTGTGTCTGTGTTAGCATGCTCCTGTTAGCATTAAAACCAGACAGCTACAGTACAGAAGTACAGCCCCTCACAGCTGCTATCAAAGCATCTAACGGTTTCTCTAAATATATATACGGCTGGACGGTTCATCAACTCTAACTAGTAGAACTTAGAAGCTGCTGAATTAGAAGGTGAAAGCTTTGAGGTGCTACAAATCCATAAGGGAGTACCACAAGGCTCAGTACTGGGCCCACTCCTATTGTCTCTCTTTGCCCTACTCTTCTTTTCACCTCTATGCTGATGATACTGTCCTTTGATGCAGTGCATCTAATCCTGTCCACGCTTGTTAAAATCTTCACTTGAGTGAGTACAAGATCTGCTTTGTCACCTCTAACTTGCTCTAAATGAAGATAAAACTACACTTTGGGACCCCCTTGAAAATGAGATGACGCATCATAAGGGGTTTGTCTTAAAATGATAAATTTCATATTTATATTATGTTCCTTTTTAGTTGTTATCTACTTTAGTATCTCTTTTAAAGGGTATATTCATCATGTTACAAATAAACTTGTGTTTTCACTTGGATTTTACTACAAAATCAAGTCCTGGTTCTACCTTCTTACCAATCCTCCTCTGGCTAAATATTTTTTCTCCCTTTTGACCTCAAAGGATGGAGTTTAAAACCTCAGTCCATAGATAGAGATACCTGGTTGATCTTGAAGAAGATTTGGACATTTCTGCGATATTTCCAGTTATGAAGTCCAAACTACAGTTGGGAAAGAAAGCTGTAAGGTTTACTGGTATATCTTTATCAATCTGTTGTAAGTGAATACACTGTCTTTATTCAAAACTTGATAATCTACCTTGTACATTCATTCAAGTACATCAAACCACTTAAGTGTCTCTAGCATTTGCACTATGATCACATGATATTTCTAGATGCGGTGGTTATAAATCTCAAGTGCCCATTTTCAAAGATTTTATCTCAAGTTATGCTCCATGTGGCTTTGTGCCATCTTAATGTTTAGTAACTTTTGTCTTTCTCTCTGTTGTACCCATAAATCAGAAGATTTGCGTGTGATGACTATGTTGTATAAACACAACACTCATCAGCGTCCATCCTGCGTTTCTATCAGTGAGAGTGAGCAATGAGCCTCATCGAGACGACTCGTACAGATAGTTCTGCTGCCTCTGAGAGGTGAGCAGAACTTTGCAGTCTCAGCAGTTGCATGCTACGGAAGAAGATGGGAAAGATAGATGAAAGACTGCCTGCATGTATGGCTGGAACAGAAGAAGATGAGACGGGGGTGAAATCTCCAAAACAATTTCATTATTGACACAGTAAGTGCAGGCAATAAGGGTCCTCTCTTCTGGGTCCTCATCAAAGTTCTTTACAGGAGGCCAGAAGGAAAATAATGCGCCAGAAAGCTTGAACCAAATCGCTCTCAGGCATCAAAGGATCGCCATTATCTCTCACAAATAAACACAAACACACACATAAGCTCACGACATTCTCAGAGGCAGCATGGAGCTTCGTAATGCTTTGATGTGCATTTATCTGGATGTTGCAAGCTGGCGTTACAGGGAGACAGTTTTAAGCAGGATGGAGTTACAGTTGGTTGAAGATCACAGATACCAATATCTAAAGACAACTTTGTACATTTCCCAAGAAGGCCTCCTATGGCAGCCAGAAACATTCGCAAAGGTAGGGACGTGCGTATTATTAAAAGTTGTCACCCTCGATGGTTGACGCCCGAGTTAACTGCTTAGTAAAGTCTTTATTATTGTTGGTCCGAATGCCGGTCAAATGTTGTGCCTAAGCTGTAGCACAGGATGTAACTTTATGCAACAATGGTCTACTACCTGGATGAAAACGAGCATAATGACAGACGGCGTCTTGTAGTGTGTCATGACATGGCAAGATTTTGATGTAAAAATTGAGCTTAAAGTCCTACTCTGATCATCGTCGTCGTTTTCTTCTGCTTCATCCGGGTCCTGGTCGCGGGGGCAGCAGCTTCAGGAGGGAAGCCCAGACGGCCCTCACCCCGGCCACTTCCACCAGCTCCTCTGGGGGGATTCCCAGGTGCTCCCAGGCCAGGCGAGAGATATAATCCCTCCACCTGGTACTGGGCTGGCCACGAGGTCTCCTCCCGGTGGGACATGTCTGGAACACCTCTAACGGGAGGTGTCCAGAAGGCGTCCTAACCAGATGCCCAAACCACCTCAGCTGACTCCTCTCGACGTGGAGGAGCAGCAGTTCTACACTGAGCGCCTCCCGAGTGTCCGAGCTCCTTACCCTATCTCTAAGGCTGAGCCCGGTCACCCTGCAAAGGAAACCCATTTCGACTGCTTGTATCCACGATCTTGTTCTTTCGGCACGTAGATCTTTCAGATACAAACTACAGAAGACTAGATGATTAACTTATAGCACTGATGGTCAATGCAGCTCATGCAGTGATCTGTTTTAAGGATCCGTAGAGTTTCCATAGTCAAAAGTTGCTGCTTGAAATCATCACAAGAGTCTTTCTGCCGTAGATCACAAGATCCTCTAGAACGTCAGTCTCTCAGCTCTACCAGCCAGGTTGCTTCCATACATGCTTCAGATCCATCAAGGTAATATCTCAGCACCTGTCCAGGTGGTCTTTTGGCATCATTTCTGCATGTTGTCCATCCTAAAGGAGCACGATGCCATCCATTCACTGGTTGTAAATATTAGACAATTTCAGGGCAATCTTTCCAGTAGAACCAGAGCTAAATATGCCGAGTTTACGATGTTAGTAAGTCAATGTTAAAGGTTAGCAAACCCTTAATGATTATGACAGGCAACAATAAGATCAACACTTTGGCAAAATTTCAATGTGTACAAACTGTGCACGTGCATCTTTGTAGAATAAGAAGTACCAACATGTTGATCCAGTGTTAAATACTTTTCTTCAAAGTACCACAACAGGTCAAAAAGATAGTTTTAACTTTGCTTTATGAGTTTAGCAGGAAAAAACATCTAAGGTCTGACAGGAATTATTTGCTGTTTAAGAAAATTCATGACTCTCAATCTTCTTCTAATCAAGAGGGAATCTTCATTATAACTCACTGAGGCCATTGTATGTTAGATTTATTTAAAACACACAATAAAGCAGACCCACCCTGACTAGACGGCCTGTAACAGCGGCACTCGTCTCGCCTGCATCCTTGGCCGAGGCTTCCTTTCTGCTGAGTTTGTTTTCCCTTCACCCTTATTCTCTTAAATGCCCATGAAGATAAGATGGCTGCTGTGATAAGTGAGCGTGCACCTCCCCGGCACAAAGCAGATACAGTGGAAGACAAGAGGAGCAAGTGTTCCTCCTTTTTGTTGGTCTTGAATTTCAAAGAGATATGAGTGTGGGAAGGACGAGCTGGGAAACTTGAAGGAAGGGAATAAAAGACAAATAAAAACTTCGGTACATTTTAGACACATAAATAATTCAGAAGATCATGAAAGGCGGGTTATTGGTATTTTCTCCATATCTGAACAAAAGCCACTGAGTTCTCTGAGGAAATGCCCTTATCCATCAATAACGAGATTTCCGCCTCGTTACGATGGGTAGATAATGAGAACATGCAACAAATCACCTTATCTTAGTATGACTGTTCATGTGCATGTCTGTGATGATGTCTGTGGAGGTGAGAGAGCTTCCTACCCCCAGGACTGAGGGACTTACTCATCTCCGAGATGTGATACTGAAACAGGATTTCTACCTCGCTCAGGGGCCCTTAAAGGGCAAATCAGGATATCCCAAATCCAGGAACTATTTTACGCATCTTTAAGATTTATGATAACTAATGAGTGAAGATTGTTTTGTTATCCAGAGTGGAGTTGTCACCAACTTTGTGGGACTCACCATGGATCCAAAATACGACTAAAACCTCCAAAGTGATGAATGTGACCACCATCCCTGTGGTCTGTTTGACCTTAAAACTCCTTCAGGCATATTAATCCCTCTGTTTATAGTCCACAGTTTGTTGCTTTGACATGTCAACCTTTTCCCTGATTCGTTTAAGAACTTGCATGTTAGTTTTCAGATGTCATAATTAATTGGTGGACCTGATCACGAGTCTGCTGCTCTTACTCTGCAATGACTCTTATTTTGCATAAGCAGGTGGCTGTCTGGCTGTTGAACCATTTGAAGAGGGTTTGTTTTCATTGGTAGGTGTGTGTTTATCCCTCTTTAAACGTCTGTAAAACCTCAGGGATGCATTTGATCTCGATCAGCAGCATACCTTCTCAGGACTGGAGTATGCATATATACGGGAACAGTTCCTGCACATAGAGATCTGGCTCTTGTTTGGCTATAATTCTTTTTTGGTCAATGCGGTAAAACATTTTGCGGATCAAATGCATTTAACTCTTTACAGAAAACTGTAACCTCTTTCCTATCAGAGTCAGGATGCCATGAAGACTGTACCCCTCAGTTTAGATAAGCTAGAGGCCAAATAATGACTGACATGGCTGGAAGATGCTGAGATAAGACGAGTTTGCCAACAAGAACAAGTTGGCCTGCCAGTGTTGGAGGAAAAGAAAGCTCCGTATTAAATCTTATTAATGTGGCACAATAGAGCTTTGTCTGTCATCGACTGAATTTTCATTACTCACGTGTGTGTGCGCGTGTGCAGCTTTGAAGAGAGCGTATCTGTGTGCTCAGGCCTGTGAGGTGTGTGTGGGTGTCAACTGCACACAAATGCATACACAGAATGCAGTGATCCGTGAAAACTTTCAAGCGTCTCGGTTATCTTTGGATTATCCAAGGACTTTTCTCTGGTAAGTGCATAAAACATGAACCTTTTATTTCCAAATAATGGAACAGTCATGTTAGTCGTAGTGAAATAACAGAGAATGAGGAGTTGTGTAACCTGTAGGACCAAAACTGTGTAAACTTCAGGGGTTAAAGTGGATCTTTGGAGTAACACAATCCCCTTTGAGCTGTCCTGAGGACAAAGGGGAGTGTTAGTTTTTTTACACCTAAAAATTGACTTGAGCCTGCAACAGAGAAAGTGGCTTTAATAGTACAAATGTAATCTCTGCAAACAGACTGATTTAACAGTAAGTGGTTGTTATGTCGGCATACTTGATTGTATTGCTCTCATAGTTGTCTGAATGCGCTCAGTCTTTTAACTCTACCATACAATTTAGCTGTTTAGCCATTCTAATAAACACACTAATGTGACTCCAACTTCATGCATTTGTAGTTATGGAACTTTTTACTAAATTTACAATGCAAAGTGGGACTGATATTGACATGGTATTGATATGCTAATGCTTCCTATCATATTAGCCTGCAAGCTTATATGCTAACCAGTCATGTTTTGTACTCTCTTGAAAGATCTGGGCGTCTCAAATTTGAAGTGTTCCCTTCCTTGCACGACACTGTTTTGTCGCATCTTTTGCACACAGGTTTTCATAAGTCAGTGGGTTCACCATCTGTTGGCTGAGTAGTCCCACAGGGTGTGCAGGTTTGAAAGATGACTCATTGTTGTCGTTGATGGTGGACATGTTTAAGCAAAGGCATTGCTTTTCCTTCTTTTTTGATGAGGTTTAAAGTGTCTCACCTACTTGCGTGACACGACACTGTTTTGTCACATCTTCTCCAAACTGGTGTTTATAAATCAGCAGTTTTTACTGTCATTGTTGCTGGCTTTGTCGCCATGTGATCCCAAGAGAAACTTCTGGTCATCAGCAAAGGGTCTGGAAGTTTTGAAAGATGACTCGCTGTTGTCACTGATAGTGGCTATGTTAGAGCGGAGGCATTGCTTTTCTCCCTCTTAGTGGAAGTGAAGGTTCGTGCTACAGAAATCTGCCTGACCTGACTGACGGGTGCGTATGCCCCTGAACACTGACCCTGCTGATACTGCCCCCTAGTGGAGATGCAGATAATAACGTATCAGCCTCTCAGTTATTGATATACTGTTATATTTTGAGTATTAGTTTCTTTTTATCAATCAATCAATCATTATTTTCAAATTCAACTACAAGCCAAACTAAAAAGGTAGGTCTTGAGTTTACTTTTAAACCATTTTTATCTTTTTAAATCTGTGCACAGTGGTTCTACTCTTTTATTGTAGGTCAGTGTGATTCTGGGATTTTTTTTTTCTTTTTACAGATTCTGACATAACTTTCTCACCGAAGCAAATTCCCATGCATATGCTTTTTTTATTCGACGTGATTCAGATTGTGATGTTGGAGGTTTGGCTTTTGTGCCAGAGGGAGGCCTAAGGGCTTGCCCTACATCATTCATTATGCCCTCACCCATCATGCAGAGCAAGCCGTACCCCTCTGGAGTCATTCCAAGAGGGGTCTCGTCATTAGCTTGCCACTTGGCGGCCAATTGCTGGAGCAAGAGAGACAAAAGCTACAGTCCACCCCTGCATGCTCTGATTGCTTTGAGAGAGAGAGAGTGAGTGAGAGTGAGTAAGAGAGAGAGAGAGAGTAGAGGGACAGGGGCCTCCTTTTGGCATAGCTGAACGTAGATTCTAGTAGCAGGCTGGTTGTGTGGTTGGTTTTGGCACAGAACATCCAGTACCGAGGTAAATGGGGTCTCTATCAGCTCAGTGAGTTTTCACTTGATTCAGTGGTTTATAGGAGTTTCCTCATGCATCATCTAATTACACAGAGTAACAGAAAACATCCAATCCCAAGGAAACACACGTAGAAGTTTTTTGATATCTGTCATTTTTACTTAATAATAGATAATCCCTAAATTCTTCATAATAGTACCGTCTTTGTAATGCTGGCAGGTGTTTGATCCGTCAGACAAACTAATTATTTCCAATAAAAATGAAGGACAGGAGAAATAACCAGCAGATTTGCAGTCACTCCAATAAAATAAGAGATCTATTGTCCAGGAATTTGACATGAAGTAATGACAACAAATAAAAAGCTTTGATTTGTCTTGATCCTCTCCCTTCGTGTCTGCTCTTTCGCCTCTCCCTCATTCTCTTTCTCTCTCCCTCCCAACCGGTGGATTTTGCCATGCTGTGATCCTCCTGCGCCTCCAGGCCCTCAGGTTATTTGGATATTGCGTGGAGTCAAAGCCCTGTCAATCAGATAAGCAGTGACCTCGCAGACCCAGCAGATAAGACGTTACATGGCAAGAGGAAACTGCAGACAGCAGGGGACACAAGGCCCGACTATAAAGGCTCGGTGAAGCGAGACTGATCACAACGGCTCTTCAAACTCTAAAACGCTGCCAAGAATGAAAAGATATTACTTGTACCTTTTTTTTTTTTCAATTTACATTAACTGAATCAGATTTGGACTTCTTGGCAAGAATTTGTCTCCTAATCAGAAGAGGATAAATCCCTATGAAAGCAAGGTGTTACATGTTTTCTCTCATCTGTGGAGAACAAACCCAATTCCAACAAATTAGGATGCTGGGAATAAAAGACAATTTTAATGTTTTTTCAGCTGCTCCACTAAATCTCCTCTGTCATGTTTTATCGTCTTATAAGTCCGGATTGTAAGCAGGGGGATTTGGCATCTGGACTCTTCAACTGCAGAGCCAGCCTGTTGTTACATGGTGGTTGTACCGCAGGCTGATAACAAGCCGGGTGGTTCTTCTCCTCTTTAGGGCAGACGATCCATGATCCCCAAGGAGAAAGTGAAGTATTGGTTTGTCAGACCACAGGGCAGCCCTTCAGGTCCAGAGAAGGTGCAGAGTCACAGTCAAACTGTTTACTGTTTTTTAAAGGTATTTGTGAGCATGTGCAGTGATTTCCACTTCAGAGTCACTTTTTATGCAGTTTTGCCTGAGGGCCCAAATGTCACAGACATCTGGTTTTCCCCTTAATGTGGAAATTCCTCCAGATCCTCTGAATCTTTAAATTATATTGTGTATTGAAGTCAATGAAATCACCAATTCTACTCTGAGGAACATGGCTCTTAAACTGCCAAACGGTTTGCTCACGCAGTCTCTCACAGAATGGTGAACCTCTTCCCATCTTTACCTCTGAGAGTCTCAGCATCTTCTTAATGCTCTTTTAATTCCCTGTCATGTTATTAACTTGTTGCAAATAAACCAAATTAGTCAAGAGATGGTCCTCTAGGAGTTTATTTTATAGCATTAAAAAAAAACCTATTTAGTGTTTGTTTTTTGACATGTTGTTGGCATTAAAATCAAACTTTTCGTACATTTTTCATAAAATATATATATACATTTTAACTTTTGATGTTTGATGCATTGTATTTGCACAATTTTTAATAAAATACAGGTTTAAATTGATTTCAAAATCTGCTCTTATCAACATTTTACCATCCAGATTGTAATATTTATCAAACCCCAGAAAATGACATCAATGGCAAGTCTCATTCATCGCTGAAACGCATCGTTTTATTAAGCAAACTTTTATGCCAGATTTAACATGCCTCAATAAAAAGCTTGCACTTAATCGTTTCAGCTTCTGTGGACTCACTGACATGGTAGAAATAAGACAAACTTGCCAGCCATTCCGTTAGACTGGGAAATTACAAAAGGATGAATGAAGGGTGAGTCTTTGTCTAGGACGGTAGCTTTTGGGTGGTCCACAGGTTGGAAGCTCTCTGGGAGGGATCAGTGAGACCTCCACATGTAGCACCACATACGAAGACCTGTTGAAACAGGGTAGACGTTAATTCAGATGCAGCTGAGCCACAACCATGAATACATTTTCTTCTCTTCTCCACTTGAAAATGATTTTTTCCACAAAACGATTAGTCTTTATTTCTCCCATGAATAAATAATTGTAAGTATATTCTGGAAAATAAACTGACTCTACCCCATGTCTGAGTAAAAACCTCAAAGCATAAGACATCTCACCACTGTAAAAACCAACATAAATACCTAAAATACAATACAAACTGTTGATTTAAATATTATGGTTCCAAATCCATTACCCACATGACTATCAAGGGGAGCCCACACACTATTTCATTTCAGTGCATATTCACACACATTTAAACGCTGGTCTGGGAGCTCTCCAGGACAAACCGCAGCCTTCTTTACTGGTGGCCACTGAGCCACTGGTTCAGTTCTTTTTCTCAAGAGCCCCTCCAGGGTTGTTGTTGGTGGAGGGCAGAGAAGTACTCATTCAAACCCAAACAGTGTGGGAGGTTCAGACACTTCAGTCACAAGAGCTCCTTTAAGTGAAAGACTTACTGCTGCAAAGATTAGATACATCAAGCCAATTAAAGCCAGTTTAGCTGTTTTGTAGAAATGACAGAAATGCATATTCTTATCCTAATTCTGTTTATGTAAGTCTTTCTTCTGCATTATGTTTCTTAGAACTTTTTAGAGAAAGTCTAATTAAGTGTTCTGGTGTGGCCTCGTCTTTATTTGATTTGATGTTTATTTCTTTACTTTTGTCAAATTTCTAATTATTTCTATGTTTTGCTTGTCTTTTGTTTGGGTAACTTTACTTTTCAGACATGCAAAATAAATAAAGCCTCTCATTAAAATGGATGTTCTCACTTGTTTTAAGCTCTAAGTGTAATGTTGCACAGTTCTGTGGTTGTTGTGCAAATGTATTATGGAAATAGTACATTTTAATATAATAGTTTGATGCCTGATAACTGATTAGATTTTGAGGAGATCTTAATCAAGGTGTCCAACTTAGTGTTTCAGTGCTAAAGCATTAAACACCTTAACGTGTGGTGCTGTTTTACTCACTGCTACTGTCACAGTTCAGAAGCAGAGCCAAAAACATTTGAACATCTGATCATACTACTAAAGTAGTGCATAACTTGGGTCGCACTGCCTGTTTCTTTTATAGGAGGATTGGGATGCATGCACATTTATACCGAAATAAAAATTAAAGAAACAACAAACATAGAATAATAGTGCCAAAATGTGTGATGGTTTTCAACTGAGGGACAACATGACTGCAACACAGGTTGATATACTTAATTACATAATATTATCTTTTCACCAATTCAACCTCCAAGTGCATGAATGACTAATTTTCACAGCTTAACATTATGCTTTGTAAACAGAGGGTGCTGTCTAAAGTGGCAAACAATACAGACTTGATGAAGAATGTTCCTGCAGCGCCCTCTATTGCCAGGAGAAAAGACAAACAAGAAGGGGAGCATGGTTCAATCAAACCACATACTGCACTGTAGCTGTAAAAACTTTAAAAATGAAGCCCACTAACTTTGAGCAATATTTTATTTTTCTCATGGATGTCACCTTTGACATTCGAGGCCTTGGGTGTCATGTCCCCCCCTAAATTGTTAAAAACAATGTTTATTTACAAAAATATTTGGTCTGGAGAAAGTCTGGGGCCACACTAAGTTTGTTTTATAGTGAACATAAGACCAATTTAATTCACTTTTGAAAACTTTTCTGTACCTCGCTTTTTTAAATGCCTCCAGATCCCCACCCCTTTCCACTGCTCCATCTCTATAATCCTAAACTGGGGGTATAAACTGATTGTGTATAAAGACCAACCCTCGGGGTCCTTATTAAAACCACCAGACACCTTTTAACTGTAGAAAGTGAAATGTTTCAGGGTTTTTGGAAAGCAAGTCAATGATATATGTCAGAAATAAGGAAAAAAAATACATTACTCCCATCCTGGCCTCCTTCCACTGGTTACCTGTGCATTTTAGAGTTCAATTTAAGAGTCCTATATTCGTTTTTAAATCTTCTGCTTTTATTTTATCCATTCTTTTAATTATTTTTGATGTTTTTTTTTTTATGTCTGCGTTGTTTTGTCTATTTATGTACAGCACTTTGTTCAGCTGTGGTGGTCTTAAAGTGCTTTACAAATAAAGTTGAGTTCAGAAAACTATATTTGTATAAAGTTGTCATTTGTATAAAAATGGTCTTTAACATACTCCCTTCATTTTACATGTTTTTAATTTATTTTTTATTTTTCCTTTTCCTTCTTTTTTTGATATTTCGCAGTTACCCGCCTCCTTCAGCTCCACAAATAAAACTTCCGGTTTACCCGGAAGTAAGCATAATTTCCAAAGATGGCGGAACAAGGTCCGATGGCCATAGCGATGCGGCTACGAAATCAGCTACAGTCCGTCTACAAACTCGACCCACTGCGGAATGAGGTGAGTGGGCATGTTGTTGTAACTCTGTGACACTGGGGTAGAAGCGGGGATGGAGTCAAACCGCAGCAGAGTGGAGTTAAACGCGCGCATTGCCGGGAGATGGTTGTCGTCTCCGCGGCGCTGATGGAGAGAGAGGGAGCGCTGCGAAGGGAGCTGTGTCTGCGCATGCGCGAACGGGAAAGCGACCTGTGTTGTTCTTCTCAAATGCGAAGCAGCGTGTAGAAAACGTGTCAACACGCTGCTTTTTGCTTCTTTGGAGAGAGAATTCGGCTAAGTTGAGAAATGCCTCTCTTATTCACCTTGTTCTAGACAGATATTTGAGCGAACTGGACGCTGCACTTTGTGGTTTCTCCGTCACCGTGTGTACACCGAGGGGACGGCGGCGTGTTTCAAACTGCCGCCCGTTTGTGTTGAACGTGGACGCATCATGTTGTTGTCGTAGTTTAAGGAGTTTGCTCATCAAGGTTGACTTTGAGTGTGTGGTTGGGTCCGAGTGTCCCCCACAGAACCGGGAACCAGACCTCATAGTGACCTAGTTTCAGTACAAACGGAAGGGGAGTCTGCTAACGTTGAACTGATTGCCCGGTGTTTCGGTTTAACGAGGTACCGTGTTAATTAGCGACTTCTACCCAGATCCTTCCGCGGTTGTTGGAAACGACCACGCAGCTATTGGTACGGATGCAGTTGAGTTTCCACTTTGAGGCCGAAACTCAATTAATGTGCATCTTTTTTATCTTTCAACTTTAGGGCAAAAGAAAGATGATAAATCTATAGTAACCAAGAAGATCTTTTCTCACCCTATCTCGAATAAAACCTGTTTTTATCACATTGTATTTTGTATAGCAGAATTGATATCAAGTTTCCATTAAGTCACTTTTCGACCAACTGTTTTGTAAAACCTAGTTCAGAGGAATGAAAGCCACAACTTTACAGATATAAACACCTGTCTTGGTTTTTTCAAAGGAGGAGGTGAAGTTGAAGATCAAGGACCTGAATGAACACATCGTCTGCTACCTGTGCGCGGGGTACTTCATAGATGCCACAACAATAACGGAGTGTTTGCACACCTGTAAGTCAAACCAGCGCTGGACAGAGTCATAATTTGCTTTTTATTGTTATTGATTTAAAGTGTTAACAGTCATTTCTCAAAAGTACGCTGGTGTTCTGCAAGGAAATGAGATAAAGATGATAACGGGTGTTTTGTTTCTCTTTTCTCTCTACAGTCTGTAAAAGTTGTATCGTGAAATATCTACAAACAAGCAAATATTGTCCCATGTGCAACATCAAAATCCATGAAACACAGCCTTTACTTAACCTCAAACTGGACCGAGTTATGCAGGATATCGTCTACAAACTGGTACCTGGCCTACAAGAAAGTATGTAAAAAGCACTTCTCTGTAATGACAAATGTGAAATAGTATTGATCGTAAATTCTATTGTTTGGGAAATGGTACATCTGTGGAATAACAACTGTGTTCAAAACTGTTTAAACCACCTGTTCTTGGCATTTAATATCTATATGATGTAATCTAAAACCCATGGTCGTGTTTCAACAGGTGAAGACAAAAGAATAAAAGAGTTTTATCAATCCCGTGGGTTGGAGAGAGTCATCCAACCTTCTGGAGACGGTAAGTTATCGCTTTATCATCCTCTCAGTCTAATCTATGGTTGCAGTCTTTTCATTAAGACTCCAAAAGCGGTCAGTAAATGTTGATCATTCACATGACCATGAAGCGATGTTATTATAGGTGGGATGTTAAGCTCCTTCCAACTTCCATCAGACTCAGTCTCACTGGTCGTATCTGTTTAAAGCTGCTTTGAGCAACTTGTGGATTAAGAAGTCTCTTCTTATTTCACCCCCCCATACATGCTCGAGTTGTGACTTTGGACCAAAACTCATCCCACTGACTTTCAACAGTCAAATGTGTCATTTACTGTGAATGTTTTCTGTGGAATAAGTACAAACAGGACAGTTTCTTCAGGACTGAAACCATCAGTCGTGTCTGTGATGGTCTCGTTTGTTTTTGGATATCATGAAAAGGCTAAACCAGTTTCTGTGTTTGGCCTCAGTTTGTATTTGCCGTCCTGACTGTGTTTTTTTTTCTTTTACTACAGACGCAGTTCCTGATGCCACAGGTTTACCGTACACAAGCTTCGACCACTCAAAAGCCCATTTCTACAGATATGATGAGCAGGTTTCGCTCTGTTTAGAAAGACTAAGGTGAGCCTATCAGTGATGGATATGTTTTCTGTAATTGTGTCATAATCTGAGGGACATTTTCTCAAACTGTTGTGTTTGTCTTTAAAGTTCATCACTCGCTGGAAAAGACAAGACGAAATTCACGCTCCAGGTAAGAACTACACACACTCACAGTCCGTCTTCAATCTATTTATCGCTGCATCTCAACAAAGCCTGTAGGCTCAGTGGAATTACTGAGCAGTTCAGAGATGCTTTCTTAGCAACTCAGCTCCCACCAACTTTGAGAATCCTGTCTCCAGGAGTCAATTTTTGGTGCCTTGATGAGTAATTTTCTGACCAGACTGCTAAGCAAACACACGGCACAATGACATCTGCAGTACAAGCAGAATGCGGCGCTCAGAGGTGGTTACTCCAGGCGACTCATATTCAACAAAAAGACAGGGAGAAGTGTGAGAGGTTCACCACAGAGGTATACAATCATTTTTAACTTCCCGACCAAACTTCTCATTTCTCAAACTCTGCGGATTTGATAATTATTTGAGAAGAGAGTTGTGGTGTTTTCGAAACATCGGGGCCAAACTTCAAGCCGGGCTGCCAAGAAGTTGAGTCAGAGTTTGGAGGAAAGTGCTGACTCTGAGGAAAAGGACTGAAATAATGTATGGACCAAAACATTTCACAGAAGTGTCATCATGTCCAACAAATACATCACTTTTATAACCTTTTTAAATGGACCTGGTTAAAAGGCCTCAAGACAAATAGTCATATATAATGTGCTGAAACTCAATATGTTGATATTTTTAAAGTTATGGGCTTTTTTGGCTTTATTAGATAAGATAAAGACGTGCATTGAGTTCTGTAGCCTCTTTATGTGGATCTCTGACACCCATTCATTATGTTTCCTGTGCTGGTTAGCTACAGTTAATCTGATATTGATCATAACAAAGTAATATCTGTAATTTATTAAACAGATGGAGCTCAAGATGCAGAGAGTTAGACTTAAACATGACTTATAGGACATTAATCTGTGCAGTTCATTTTCCTGTTTTTTGCCCTTTGCCAATCACATCCCTGATTAATTCTCACAGTGTTCCCATGTGCCAGTTCATCAACATTTACATCCCAGGACATTAGATAGCGTTGTTCTCAAACATGCCTGCTAACTGATTTCAAACCCACTAAGCTGCAAAAACTGCCCACTCTGTCACTTATTACCGGGAGTTCTCCCTCAGTGGGCCAAACCTCCCGACAGGCTCATTTATCCGGGGGACATGTGACCAAAGATCACTGGGAAAGAGAGTTAACTAAAATACGCAGGGTGAACCAAATTACACTCCACTGAAAATCCAGACGACCAGGCCAGCGTTGTTCTGTCTGCTGCAGAGACTCAGTTCAACCAGCAGAGGGCAGTGTTGTTCAACAGTTATTATTTCTGTACTGTAAGCGTCTCATCCACTTCTGGGCTGTGATTTAAGGGAGTTTTAGAGATTCTCAGAGGAAAAAGCACAAAAAAAGAAGATTTAATAACTCAAGGTTTAAATTTGGAGTTTGATCGGGTGACAGCTGCGATCAAAAAAGGGCATCATCCCGACCACACGCGCGTCCTCTTTGACCCTTTTCTAAAATGAAAATGTTGTTTATTGGTGCGTCTAATGTTACCTGACGTAATGGGAACACAAGGTTTCATCAGTTCAATTCCTGACGACCCTCAATAAGCAGCTCTGCCTCTCTATAACCTCTGTGTGAACCTGTTAAACGGGGGGCTGTGTGTGATCAGTTTGCCAAGCATGCTCCGTCTGCTCAGTGTTCTGGGTCTGAATTAGACCCCTAACCTTTGCTGCGTGCCGTTCTCTGTGCCCTGCATGTTCATCATGATCCGCTGTTTTTATGATGGCGAAAAATACAGCTGCAGAGGTTTCTGTGTCGACTTTATAGACTTACTGTTTTGGCCTTTATTCAGAGAGGAAGGCAAGTCCAAGTATGTGGATTAGGAGTGTTTAACAAGTTGGTGCATTTAGCGGGATTATTCCTGTGAAGTAATCCATCTTCTCCCGTGAATCAGACTGTAAACCTGATTTTGAAAACCCTCTCTAACTGTCTCCTCCATGGTGTAAAAAGTCGTATCGCTAAATCTGTTCAAACAGCCAGTTTTGACTTGTTTTGTTGTTCGTGCTTATCAGAAGTTAAACTCTTTATTTTCACGCCCTTACCTCCCACAGCAGAAGTTTGTTCGTTGTTCGGTCCGAGCGGAGGTGAGACACCTACGGAAAGTTCTCTGTCATCGGCTGAACGTGGAAAAACATCAGGTATGTCTGTTCTCACGAGGGTTTCAGGGAAAGGAGTCACAGAAAATCGACCCCTGAGTTTTTAAAGTGTTTGAGGATAGTGACTGAGCTACAGGATCTGTTTTCGCTTCTAAATGAAAAAAAAATGCTTCTGCTTCTCTGCATAGATGAATAAATGCAGTATTCACACCACCAGTAATGCTATTAATGTCTTAATAAGTTCAGTAGGATTGAGCAGAAGTGAGGATACAGTGCTCACTGTCATTCCTGCCTATTATTGCATAACTCTAAGTCTCCTTGCTGAAACAATCAGTGATTAAAATACTAAAAATCTCCATTTCTGTGACAAACTTACATTTAAATTCATGCATATTGAAGGAAACAGCGAAGCAGCCTTTGAAAACCCTGTCAACATCACTCCTGTCGTGTAACGTTGCTTTAGCTCTGACTCCTTCTTGATCAGGTTTCTTTTGCTGCAGGTTCAAAAGTTTTACAGACAGAACAAAAACAAATAAAACCTCACAAAGTTAAAGTTTAATATAGTAATGATAATATTAGTAAAGTTTAAGTACCATCAGAAGAAGACTGGTCACATTCAGTGTTTTTTAATCACCAGTGTCGTATTTACCAGAAAGACTGTTTGAACTTAAAGGATCAGGAGTTTAACTGGTTCGATGCTGGTTTTCCTCTTTGTTAGTGGGCCGTGGTGGAGCACCATACAGTCACAGATAATAATTTGTGTTATTGCTTATAAACAGCAGGTCAAAACCTCAAACATAGTGCTAAAATAAACCAGAAAAGCTCTTGTTGAGTGATTCGTTCCCACTTCAGAGCTCTGTGGAGTCCGTTTGGTTTTAATCTTCCATCAAATGTTTTCAGAGCTGCGAATCAGCCGCACTTCACATAAAATACTCACTAACAACAGCGCACACGTTCACACATACACGTAATCACAGATTCTTCTCCTCACATGTGTTTGTGTGGTCTCCTTATAGGTCCAGATGTTGTTCAATAACGAGTCACTTCCCGATCACATGACCATGAAGCGATTATGGCTCTCTCACTGGTTTGGAAAGGTACGGTACAGCCGCTGTTACAGAGCGCCAACTTAATGTCACACACCCCACACTTCTGTGTTTCTCTCTCTACTCCAGTTTTAAGTTAAGTTATAGTTTGATTTTAAAAATAAAAGAAACTTTGGGTTAGTTCTCCTATTAGAAATGTTGAATATTTACTTGTGCATGCCTTTAAAGATTTATGCAGCAGCACATAATACTTGAACTCTTCTCTCCCTCAGGCTCAGCCGTTAGTTCTTCACTACACCATCAAAGACAAAAGGAGCAGATAGGATTGGTTTTCACTCGGGGAGACGACTGTACATATTTTGTACTATACATATTCTATTTTAATAGTGTTTGTGTACATAAACTTATTTTCCTTGTTTTGTATTTTTGAAAATAAATTTGAAATTGGAAAAATTACAGCTGGTTTTAAAGGCTTTTGTCTGCAGACAGAACAACACTTATACTTAATTTGTTAGTTCCACACAAAATGGTAATAACATGACAAAATGAAATATATTATACAGAAAAGTATTAGTTTGACATCATTTCTTAAATTTAATGTCTCAAAAAGGCTAAAAGAGTTTTATTTCTACTCCTGAGATGTCTTAAATTTAAGATGAACCACATCTGAGCATAAAACCAAATCTGCAGTAGCTGGATAACATTTTTTAAGATGTCTTATTTGTGGATTTGCTTGTTAAGATTACAAATAGCATTTATGACACCATTCCATGTACCTATTTACAAACCACAAACCAAAGAAGAGGTAAAGGAAATCAGAGCTTGAACATTTTCGATGTTAAAAATGCCAAATTTATGTTAATTTCCATTTGCAAAACTGTTTTTTTTTTCCTCTGGGGTCTTAAAGGGTCTTAAACGCCTCAAATTTAGTTTTAAAAAAGTGTGCAGCAGCCCTTTAAGTTTTGTAAACAGGTGCTGGAGTATTTATCTTCATCCTTAAGTTTCCAACAGTCCCATCCAGCCCACAAACTATTAATTAAAAAATGTCTTAGTATGAAACTTTAACAGTTTCCATCTGCGCACAGAAAATTTAAAATCACTCTTGTTGCTTTCTTTCATTTATTTACTGTGATTTTCCACATTTTGATTCTGTTTCACTACTTTAAAACTGCAAATACAGACACAAGCTCTCCGGTCTTTACTTCTGTGTCAGTCTTTAAAATCACGACTTTGTGAGAAGCTTTATGTCTCTGGGTGCTTCGTCCTCCCCCCGCTCTCTCGGTTGACTTTCTCAGGGATTGTGAGAGAACAATAATTTTAAAGTCCTGACACAGATTCTGGACTCGGACTTGGCCAGCCGTCGTTGTTTTGAGGCCATACCTGTCAGCTTTGGCTTATCTTTGGGGTTATTGTCTTACTGAGAAATAAATCATCTCCGCAGTTGCACTTTTCTTTCAAACTGCAGCGGGATGCCCCGGAGGAATTTCTTCTTGTTTTTTTGCACAGATTCGGCTCCTCTGGGGTCTGTTGTGGAGAAGTATTTCCTCAGTAAGATGCCTTCATCCTGTGTAGTGATTTGAAATGAGCCTCATACGGTCGCACCAAAATATATGTAGCGATTTGAAATGAGCCTCACAAGGCCGCACCAAAATAATACTTGGCGATTGGAATTTATAATAAATGTCTGAAGATTAATAATCTCAAATTATGACATTTATGCACTCGTTGAAAGGGGCACCACCCACCCTTAATGGTGGGAAAATAAAGAAAACAAAAGTTTAATTCAGAAATCAAACATCAAGTCAGTTTTAATTAATCAGTCTTAATTAATCAGTCTTAATTAATCAGTCTCATATCTTAAGTCGAAATTCTAATTTCAGGGACTCCACTTCTGGAAGAACACTAACAGACAGGAACTTAGAAAAATAATGATCTGTTTATTACAGGATAAATGATGGTACAACACACATGCAATAAATGATGATAAGATAATGAAGATAAATAATAATAGGTGAATAAATAAAGATTCTGAGTCAGGCTAAGAGCACTAAAGTTAATGATAGTGAGTGAATATGCGCTAACATATTAACCTACACTAACTTTGGTGTCGAGATAAACTCGGATGTGGATTTGGAGGAATCTAAGATCACCAGAAATAGGTGGATATCTGAGTTATGAACGCATGAGACAGCACCAGCCCTCTTTAGAGCTCTGGAGGTTTGCATACTTAAGTGAGACTGGTCCTTGGAGAAGATGGAGCAGGTTCCGAAGGTCCGGGCTACTGGCGGTTCGAGCGGTTCAGCTCAGAAGACGACTGAAGTCAGCCGAAGGATGAGCCAGGAGTTGCAGCACTCGGGCCCGAAGCAAAGCCAGCGCCTGTGGATCCTGTGGATGCTCGTTTGGGTACTTCTTTGGTCTCACTTAAAAACTCTGGCACAGAGGATGACCTGGGCCTGCTGGGTTGCGTTCAGAGGTGACTTTGAATCACGCAGAACTCAGAAAAACGAGGCTCGAAGAGCAGAGAAAACTTTCAAAAATGGCTTCGCGAAATTAAAGGAAAATCAATCAAAGGCTTAATCTTGAATTGCTATGTGCACAAAAAGTTGAAGTTTCAAAACTTGAACTAAGACGATGTTAAAGAAAAATCAACGTGAATCAACACGTGGCGTAAAACTTAGAAGACTAAGAAAAAGTTCTAAGAGAAAATAAAGAAGCGCACCACAGAAGGGTGTGGGCAGAAGAAAAGGGGCATAAGAGCCGGGGACAAGAGAGTCAGCAGAAGAGCAGAAGCATAAGAGGAAGAAGAGACATAAGAGAGTGAGCAACCCCACTCCCACTGGTTTTATCTTCTCACACTGGGAGTGTCTGAGGAGAAAAAGGAGGGGTCATCGGGTCTCTGATTATTTGATCTAACTTATTCTTTTGGCTGGTAAAAGAGTCAGATCTGATACTCACTCACTATGATTAATATCATTGAATGCTTGGTTTCATGATAAATAATTTGATACTAAACACATATGAATGAAGTGTAGGATCACATCAAACATTCTCATTATGTTTTAAGTATCACATTGAACATGCTAAATTACTCTGAAATGAAACAGATAGTAACACATAGAAACTGTGAACAACAAAAGAGTAAACACATGTGAATGAACGTCATCATGATTAATAATGGATTCTAAATACTCACATTCAGATTATTCAGTGACATTATAACCACCTAATGGTTAAGATACTAAATAAATAACTAAAATATAAACCAAACATTTCTAAACTATTTCTGTTACTTAGAGTAAACTTAGGATTCATAGTCAATAAATTTAACTCTTAAAAGTTCATGAAACAGTCTGAAAAGCTGTTGGTCTAAAGAACTAAAGAATAAGGATTTATTCTGTCAGATAAGATAACTTGGCTTCTGAAGCACATAGAAAAACGGGAAACATCTCATTTTAACACAAATTTCATGATTAGACAGATTAGTACATTGCTGAATGCATAAGATGTCATGATCAGTCATTTGTATTCTTTCACCAAAGGAATGCAGTCTTTATCAGTGAATGGTCGAGCAGGGTTTTACGACCGAGGTCTGGAGGTCAGTGTCCCCCCTTATCCTGGGGTCCGTATGTTCACACACTTTAAGACGCTAAATCTCAAATGGGAGATCTGGGTTGAGACGTTAATGTTTATTTAGATGGTCAGCAATGGAGTCAGTTTGAAAGGTAATAAAAACTCTGTCTCTGTTCGCCGAACTGACCAATCCTGAAGAGTCAGAGGTTTAGTCAACCTATGGTTGGGTCACTTATTTAACCTGAAAGTGCAAACACGTCTGGAAAGATTTATATCCTGTTTCCTGGGACCAGATAAGGAAACTTTCCTGTAAGGAATGTGTGGGTTTCACATCCAGGGTTGTCTTGATTGCTACAGTCCCCCCTTCGTCACGGTGGTCCTGTCCATGGAGCATCGGGACGACGAGTAGACAACCATGAAGCAGCAGCAGGTGTATGCAAATAGGACTGATGCGTCTCGTCATCACTATGTGAATCACTAGTACTGCTTTGAGATAAAATTAAGCATGCATTAAGCTATCAAATAAAATCGTCTAGGTGTTAGACTTTTCTCAGTTAACTATTGGTAGACTAATGTGAAAGAAAATCTCCTAATTTTCAGTATTAATGAGATTTAGAAAAGCACTCTAGTCTGAATGCTAACTGGATCTAAAGCTATAGCTGTTTTTCATGCTTGCTGGAGAAGTCTGAAAGTTCAATTTCAGTTTCAAAAATGGTTAAGACTTAGGTGGAAAAGAAATGTCTGCTAAAGACATATTAACCATCTGTGTATGAGCATAGTCAACCTGAATCACAAACATCAAAAGTTTACTGCACAGAGTTTCTCTTAAACTTTGTCTGTTAAACTTGGGGATGATGCTCTTATCGGTTTGACTAATTATCTGCTGTTGAGTCTGAAATTTGTCAATCTGAGTCTTAGTGACAGAAATTTCAGCTTTTAATCTGTTCATGGGATATTTGACAGCTGACAAGCTGACTATATTGACAGAGGAGAGACAAATGCTAACAAAGAAAGCAGCAACTGGTATTGCAGTCATCAATGTATCACCACAGCATTTGGATATCTTATTGGAGTCATTTAGCTTTGGCTAGGTGACTTCTGCTTTCGCAGGACTCACACCTTCATGACTCCACAGTGTTAATCTCAGTGGTTAGCTGAGTAGTCATGTTTATTCACCTTCAAAGTGGATGAAACCGATTGAGGTGGATAATAAGATCGTCGTTTCTGAGAGTGTGATTTACTCTGATTCTGCCAGTCATTCACCCCACTTTGGCGGTGTTGATGGTTTTTCCTTTGTCTGGGATAAAACCCACCGTGACGGGAGTCTGAATAACAACAGTTGGTCTCAAAGTTTACCTGGCATTGGTCTGTGTCAGACCTGGGCCTTGGTATGTAACTTTGACCTTTGTGAGTTTGTTGAGGTCGAAAAGGTTTTGGAGGCCTGGTTAACCACTCATTTGGAGGCTTATCGGAGCCTGAAAAAACACAGTCTGAAGCTTCGTTCAGCTCCATGGGCAGTGATTTTGTCTCCATAGCCAACAGAGTAACAGGCTCTGCTTTCTTAGCCAAAGTTTGTCGTTGTTTGGCAAAACCTTTTACAGCAAGTTCACGAAGCTGTCGGCTAGTCAAAGTGTTTGGACAAGCTAAGACGCCAAGGTGATGACTGGTGGTAGGGTGGAGGTTCTGGACGAACAGCGTTTTGAAGTTCAAGTCCTCCTCCATTTCTGGTTCATTTCGGAAACCAAAGTAAGCTTCGCGTAAGCGGTTGTAATAATGTTGGGGAGGTTCTGATCTCCCTTGTTTAATAGACAGAGCAGCAGAAAGGCCTGTCTGGGTCAAATGATCAGAAAACTCTTCAATTAATGCTTGGCAGAGCAAGTCATAATTATTTCTGACATGATAAGGCTGTCGTTCAAGGAAACTGCTAACCTCTCGACTTGACGTTGCCTTAATAAGGTAGATTTTGTCATCAGTGGTTGCACCTGGAAATTTCCTCAGGTAAAAGTCAATATCTTTCAAGTAGGTGCAGGTGTCAGTAGCACCTTGGTGCTCAGGTTCAAAGCGTGCTATGTTACGAGCAATTTTGTCAAGATCCCTGTCTGAGGGAAATGGCAAGAAACCATCATGAGGAGGAGAGTAGGACTTTTGGCTTAAGGATGACCTCTCAGGGTCAAGCAGGGTCCTGTCATGATGCTGAGAGAGATACTTAAGAGTTGGTTTGGAAGGAAGTGATGGCGCTCTCTCAGGAGGCTGATCATATATCATTTCTTCGAGAAAAGTTTGCTTCATGCGTTCTCTTTGGGCTCGACCTGACTGGAGGGAGCATCGTAACTCTCTTTGGGCATCTTCAAGTTCTTTATCTGTCTTTCCTTGCCGTTCTTGACAAAGAATTAACTGTCTTTGAGCTATCTGGAGCTGGTGCTGTAAGGTAGAAGTTTGCTTCTCCTTAACTTCAAGAGCTTCAGCACGCACTTTGACCAGTGCTTTCAAAGCTTTTACATCTTCTGTTGCTTGCTCTAGTAGGGATTCTGACTGTATCAGATCCTCTGTGGTCTTAGCAAGCTGCTTATTCGTGTCATCAAGTTCTTTCTCCTTTTTGTAAAGGGTTTCATTAAGTCTTTCAATCTTGTCTTTGAGATCAAGATTTTCTTCATGACTTATCAGTGAGGGAAGCTTTGACGCTTCACATCTGGCACTGTGTTTTTCTAAAACACTTAGAGACTTCTTAGTCTCCTCTAGCGTCTTTTTCAGAGCGCTGTTTTCGTCTTTTTGCGCCTTTATCTTTGCTAAAGCGCATTCCAGCAAGTAGTCTTTATACTCAAGCTGAGAAGACATCACGACAGACATGCATCTAGTGAGCTCTTTGTCACGAAGTGTCGTGGTTAAAGCTGTTTCCAGTAAGTCAGCCATTGCATCCTCCGGATTGGAGGGTTTGGCCTTTTGAATCTTAGTCATATACTGAGGTATCAGCTGACTAGTCAAGTTTGCCAACACTGTGTGTATCTCCCTCAGGGGGTCTCCCTGGCTGGACTCTTTTGTGTTAGGCATGTTTGGTTTTGGTAAAGAGGAGCAGGTGGTTGGTTGATGAGTTTGAGTTGGCTTAAAATGAAAAGAAGAAGCAAAATATCAAATTAAGTGAGTTAATCGACTTAATTTATCAGTGCTTGATAAAGAGGAAGAGCCTATCTGAGTAGATATCTAATGGAGAGAAAAATAACATTAAGTTAAATTCATTTCAATGACAATTGAAAAAGTGAAATGATGTTAAATTAAATTTAACATCAGATACAGAACCATTGAATAAAGGGTTCAAAGTGTCTCCGTGTTGCAGAGATCAGCAAAGCTTAAATAAACTGCCTGATGCAGTTGGATGAATCTGAAACCAATGAAATTGTCAATTTAAGGAATTAACTCTGAAGTTAATTCACAAATCGCAATAAAGCCAAAGATTCAACTACCCAATTCATCTGAAATGGTAAAATAGATTTCAAATATTAATTAATTTGTTCATTAATTAATTAATCTTATGAGGAGGGTTAATACATTCATGTATTATAGGGAACAGTAAAACTGCTCAATGGTGTGATAAGTAACAACAGATCAGGTGATTGATTCAAGGAGTTACTTTATCAATACATTATGTAGGCTCTTATAACAAAGATAAAAATCAAAAATCAATGATCAATGATTTAGAATAAGCACATCAAACTTCATCAACCAAGTCAATCACTTGAGTTATGTCTGTAGAGTGTTACACACTGACTACAGAGAGGCAGTACAGCTGGCTGATACTGCAGGCAGATAATAGCAGTGTTAGCTCAATACCAAAAACAACCATGTGGGGCAGTATGGAGTTGGGGTAACTGCACAAGCTCAACACAAGTGGAGAAGAAGAAGAGAAGAGGAAACAGTCATCCAACTAGCCTCTTGTGGCTGTGAGGAGTTGGGAAGTGTGCAGGAAGGGGCCTTTAGGCTCTGCCTCCTTGAAGGGCCTTATCTGCTTAAGGCCAAAGGGTCAGTCTCTCCACTGACAACAAAGGGTTAACATTTCACAGCAGGCTGCATCTGCTCCCTCAAACATAGAACTTTACACCATCTGCTCAGGCAGATTGGTTCAATAAAATCATTTACAGGAACAAGAATCGAAGTGACAAATCCTTAAACAGCAGATTCAACTGCGGACTTTAAAATCACAAATGCGGCGATTTGTGATCACGAATTTTGTCTTAATTCATTCAAACAACAACCTCCCACTGTTACAGTGGTTTCCTGTGACAGGTAGTTAATCTGTCAGGGGAAAGGAGGAAATCTGAATCCCATATAGTTACTAGAACTTCGTAGCAGACTATAGAGACAAGAATCAAAGTGACAAATCCCTCAACAGCAGATTCAACTGCAGACTTTAAAATCACAAATGTGGCGATTTGTGAACACAAATTTTGTCTGAATTCAATCAAACAACAACCTCCCACTGTTACAGTGGTTTCCTGTGACAGGTAGCTAATCTGTCAGGGGAAAGGAGGAAATCTGAATCCCATATAGTTACTAGAACCTCGTAGCCGACTACAGAGACTTCAGGGGCTTGAAACCACAGCTCGGAGCATCGCGAACACTGGGTTCAGCCAAAGGCCTTAAATACAAGCGTACGGCGACGCCACAATCGTGCACTTAAATATTGGACAGTCTAGACAGAGCAGAGGAGTCAGTCTCACTGCTACTCAGAACAACATTTCACGCTGTCCAGCTCAAACACAGACTACAGGCATGTAGTACAAGAGTGTGTGAAACACAGAGCATAAAGGTTTTATGCATAGATCATGAAAACATCAGAACTTAGTCAAGCAACTTCAGCAAGCATAGCATTGATTGTGATTAAGTCAAAATAGCCTGGAAATAAGTTTCTCGCATCAATTTGGAAGGCTAAGTTTTAGGTTGTCTGTTAGTATCCAGAAGTTTTGTTTGAAACGCCTCACGCAGGGGCTCCAAAATATATGTAGTGATTTGAAATGAGCCTCATACGGTCGCACCAAAATATATGTAGCGATTTGAAATGAGCCTCACAAGGCCGCACCAAAATAATACTTGGCGATTGGAATTTATAATAAATGTCTGAAGATTAATAATCTCAAATTATGACATTTATGCACTCGTTGAAAGGGGCACCACCCACCCTTAATGGTGGGAAAATAAAGAAAACAAAAGTTTAATTCAGAAATCAAACATCAAGTCAGTTTTAATTAATCAGTCTTAATTAATCAGTCTTAATTAATCAGTCTCATATCTTAAGTCGAAATTCTAATTTCAGGGACTCCACTTCTGGAAGAACACTAACAGACAGGAACTTAGAAAAATAATGATCTGTTTATTACAGGATAAATGATGGTACAACACACATGCAATAAATGATGATAAGATAATGAAGATAAATAATAATAGGTGAATAAATAAAGATTCTGAGTCAGGCTAAGAGCACTAAAGTTAATGATAGTGAGTGAATATGCGCTAACATATTAACCTACACTAACTTTGGTGTCGAGATAAACTCGGATGTGGATTTGGAGGAATCTAAGATCACCAGAAATAGGTGGATATCTGAGTTATGAACGCATGAGACAGCACCAGCCCTCTTTAGAGCTCTGGAGGTTTGCATACTTAAGTGAGACTGGTCCTTGGAGAAGATGGAGCAGGTTCCGAAGGTCCGGGCTACTGGCGGTTCGAGCGGTTCAGCTCAGAAGACGACTGAAGTCAGCCGAAGGATGAGCCAGGAGTTGCAGCACTCGGGCCCGAAGCAAAGCCAGCGCCTGTGGATCCTGTGGATGCTCGTTTGGGTACTTCTTTGGTCTCACTTAAAAACTCTGGCACAGAGGATGACCTGGGCCTGCTGGGTTGCGTTCAGAGGTGACTTTGAATCACGCAGAAAACTCAGAAAAACGAGGCTCGAAGAGCAGAGAAAACTTTCAAAAATGGCTTCGCGAAATTAAAGGAAAATCAATCAAAGGCTTAATCTTGAATTGCTATGTGCACAAAAAGTTGAAGTTTCAAAACTTGAACTAAGACGATGTTAAAGAAAAATCAACGTGAATCAACACGTGGCGTAAAACTTAGAAGACTAAGAAAAAGTTCTAAGAGAAAATAAAGAAGCGCACCACAGAAGGGTGTGGGCAGAAGAAAAGGGGCATAAGAGCCGGGGACAAGAGAGTCAGCAGAAGAGCAGAAGCATAAGAGGAAGAAGAGACATAAGAGAGTGAGCAACCCCACTCCACTGGTTTTATCTTCTCACACTGGGAGTGTCTGAGGAGAAAAAGGAGGGGTCATCGGGTCTCTGATTATTTGATCTAACTTATTCTTTTGGCTGGTAAAAGAGTCAGATCTGATACTCACTCACTATGATTAATATCATTGAATGCTTGGTTTCATGATAAATAATTTGATACTAAACACATATGAATGAAGTGTAGGATCACATCAAACATTCTCATTATGTTTTAAGTATCACATTGAACATGCTAAATTACTCTGAAATGAAACAGATAGTAACACATAGAAACTGTGAACAACAAAAGAGTAAACACATGTGAATGAACGTCATCATGATTAATAATGGATTCTAAATACTCACATTCAGATTATTCAGTGACATTATAACCACCTAATGGTTAAGATACTAAATAAATAACTAAAATATAAACCAAACATTTCTAAACTATTTCTGTTACTTAGAGTAAACTTAGGATTCATAGTCAATAAATTTAACTCTTAAAAGTTCATGAAACAGTCTGAAAAGCTGTTGGTCTAAAGAACTAAAGAATAAGGATTTATTCTGTCAGATAAGATAACTTGGCTTCTGAAGCACATAGAAAAACGGGAAACATCTCATTTTAACACAAATTTCATGATTAGACAGATTAGTACATTGCTGAATGCATAAGATGTCATGATCAGTCATTTGTATTCTTTCACCAAAGGAATGCAGTCTTTATCAGTGAATGGTCGAGCAGGGTTTTACGACCGAGGTCTGGAGGTCAGTGTCCCCCCTTATCCTGGGGTCCGTATGTTCACACACTTTAAGACGCTAAATCTCAAATGGGAGATCTGGGTTGAGACGTTAATGTTTATTTAGATGGTCAGCAATGGAGTCAGTTTGAAAGGTAATAAAAACTCTGTCTCTGTTCGCCGAACTGACCAATCCTGAAGAGTCAGAGGTTTAGTCAACCTATGGTTGGGTCACTTATTTAACCTGAAAGTGCAAACACGTCTGGAAAGATTTATATCCTGTTTCCTGGGACCAGATAAGGAAACTTTCCTGTAAGGAATGTGTGGGTTTCACATCCAGGGTTGTCTTGATTGCTACACCTGTTTTATCTCAATGTACTGTGTATGTTTCCTTTCCTGGTGGTGCCGCAGTCTTCGGTTGCATTTAACATTATGGTCAAAAAGAGTCATTTTACACCGACTTTTACCGCCTTCGTTTATGTTCGGACTCCCCCTCTGACAAACACTAAAGCTTCAGATGGGGAAACTGTGACTGCAGCAGTATTTCTAAGGCTCTCTTTTCTCAACCCTGTAACACGAATCTCATTCTGCGTCCTCACAGATCTCTCGGCGGCCTTCTTTACTCGGGGCAGATTTACAGCTTTGTCATGCTCTGACCACTTTTATAATTCACTTCACTGTAATACAGGAAATACTGTAGGCCTGAGGAACTGCCTGGTGGCTCTCAGCTTAAGAGTTGTTTATTAAATGAGTCAAACATTTTGTGAGTAACATCTTAAAGATGTTAAAATAAAGAGGAGAGGGCTTTTTCAGTACCACCAATGGTAACGTGTCAACTCTGCTATTTAATATGCGAATAAAAACATCATGATGGCTAATTTTCACTTATAGGTGATAAAACAAGTCCATTCATAAAGAGAAGGATGGTAGGTGTGCATGAAAAAATCATATCTTTGATGGTAAAAATGTGACAAATTGAGGCTCACGCTTTTTGTCCTTGAAGGCCACCGTTTCTTATCGATGAGGGGGGTGAGCAAGGTGGCATCTCGTAAACAATCAGCCATGTTGGATATACCGGTGAATCTGAAGTCGCAAAAACATGCAATCTGATTGGTCAGAAGTGGACACACAGTATGCAAAATTTTAGAAAAATCGGCCGTGATCCGAAAAAATAAATGCCAAAATATCGCAGGATGTGAACGCTTGTATTGACAGGAAACGGGTTAAAAAAAAATATTGACGTCCGAAATAATCGCATGATAAAAACGGTCCCTTAAGACACTTTCAGTTTATGTTAACTTTGGCGCCCCCTGTGGACAAAGCCGGTACTCCCTTTGTTTTTGCAGATTTTGCTCTGTATATATTTACGTATTGTGTTATTTGTTTACTTCCTTTCCTTTTCCAGATTTTATTTTTGCCATAGCACGACAGGACATCTTGGGAGAGACAGGAGAAGATGTCCACCAACGACTTCCAGACCAAAGATTCAGCCGCCGACTACAGTGACAAGGACTGCAGACTCTGTTCAGGGAGCACCTGCTCAACCAGCTGACCTAAACCAGAACCCCGGTTAGTCGTGTTAAGATAAAAACTCTCACTGCGATTTCTTTAACGGTGAAACATCACTGACTCGGGGTGTCATGGTGGTTAAGGTGCACAGAGGTCACAGTCATTGTCACAGCAGTCGGTGGTTTGTTGCACGTCTACTCCCAGCTTTCTTAGTACCTAAAGACAACTATATTATTATAGTTATAATGTTAGTTTAAACTCATTTCATGTGCAGTTAAGACTCTTCACAGTGGCTGGATATTCTTTATTAACACTTTTTCATAAAGTTTGTTTGTTTGGAGAGAAGAAAAGCTAAAATTATTACAGCAGACTGCATTTTTACTGTTGATGAGCTAAAATCTAAAGATTAGGATTAATCAAGTGGATTATTATTTTGACATAATCAGCATTATATCAAGGCCGATATCGTCAGTATCTTTTCTTGCCAATCAACCATAAACAGCATGTCACATTCATTCTTGTGCTGTATTATTTAGACTTGAGAGTGAGATCAGCCACGTTTAGAAATCTACCTGAAATCTGTGTCTTTTCACTGACTCATTAAAAATTCATCTAACATGTTTATTAGATTTAAATATGTATGGAAACTGGATCTACACGACTTTATTATTCTATTTCAAGCCCATAATTTACCTTTAAATTGTTTTTCTGCCATAATGATCAGAGTTAGCTGGGCAGAAGTCCAAAAGATTTTGAGGAAACATTCAACAGCACCAAATATTTTCCATCTACATCTATTTCGTTCAATATACACTAAAGTTCAAGAATTTTGTTTTTTTATTTTTTAGTATTTTTGAACTGTCATATCCCGTCAAATACAAAACAAACACAATTTTATATCGACATTATTTACCGGCCCTCAGCCCACCTGCTCTCTCATAATCTGTATTGGCATCGACCAGTGAAAAAACCACTATCAGTCGACCTTAACTAAAAATGCTTGACCCTGCATTCATCAGTGCTTGTATCTTTGGAGATCTCCACAGTCATTTTCTAAAGCAGATTTTTCCTGCAGTAACTTTTCAGTTCAGCAGAGGAAAAAAAAACTCACTTAGGAAATCCACCTTCACAGCCACAGGAGATATAACGCGCCTGTTTCCACAGCTGTAGTGAACTTTACTCTGCATAAACTCAGCTTCATATAAAACCAAGAGAGCAGGAGCCGCTTTGAGCATCCCAAAATGTTGCGCCAACTGGCATCCCTCCTCGTCTATGAAGTGTTTATGTGACACACTGAGTGAGGTGATATTTTATCGCTCTTTTTAGAGAGAGTTGGGTTTGGGTGTGAGCAGGATTACAGCGATCTGTGCTGTGACGGCATGTCAAAGGCCCCAAACCTAAAACCTCTGACCACAAAGAGCTCTGTCTGGCTGAAATGATCACGGTCCTCCCAGATGAGCACTAGGTGGCGCACTTGGCGCTCTTTTCAGTATTTGGAGCAGGAGGCCTTGAGGCTTTGAAGTGTGTGATCTTAACCAGAGTGAAAGCAAAGACTCTGATAACCTGACACGGGCTGATAGGACGCTGTATACAAGCCGAGTATCTTATCCTAACCCCGCTCTCTCTGTTACCACTCTGCTCAAACATTTTACCCTCTTCAGTGTCATTTTGAAGAGTTGCTTCATGCTCAAAGACCAGAAAACAAGCTTGTCACATTTTTAAGATTATAGATTGAAAGATGAGGACGTTATAATCAGGTGTAACGCTGGTTTTGTGTTTGACTGGAACACAAAGACGAGGGTTTTATGAGGATTAAAGAGGAGCATGTGTTCATCAAGGGCAGAGGTCAAAAACTTGGAGGACTGACTTTGCAGATTTTCCACATATAAAGAAATGCTCATGTAAAGGACACTGTTTGGTTTGTAATTTCCTTTCAAAATAAAAGCCCCATTTTTTGGAGATATAATATTTCTATTTTAAATCTTTTGAATCCTCCAAATTCAGTCCCCGCTGTCATATTTTTGGATTAAGAGTAGTAATAAACCACCCGAAACCTGCACACAAGTCTGCAGCACTCAAACACACACACACATACACACACATAAATTCATTATGCATGTCTCTCCTGCCACCTTTAGAAACCTCGTGTAAGTCCCCTCAGGCTGCTCAAATGATGAAAAAACAATAACCCCCTGAAGATGTGACCTTTAGGCTGCAGTCGGACAGCTCTCAACTCTGCCATCGAATTTATCTGGTGAGAATTGCAAAATATGAATCTGACTTTATCACACCAAAAAAAGAGGATTGATCTTGAGGAGACAATCAGAGAAGTAATGCCAGTTTGAGTGTAACATTTAAATCACAAATAGAAAGCTTGTACTGCAGATTATTCAGGTATTTATTCCCAATGTGAAAATTTTAAAGTCATAAAAAATTGATCCAGTTAATCCCAAAGTTTTTCCTCATAGTTTTGAATTTCAATACAAAGACTAAACTGAGACATGAACAGATTTTAAAGCTAAGCATTGTGAAATAAAAGATAGTTCATGATCAGGATGTTTTATAATTTTCTGTTTTGTATTTTTTTAAATTATAATATCGTAATAAGGCTGATGTGGTTCCCCTCTGACTCTCATCTAAAGCTCCATCCTCTGTGTTGTCTCTGCTGCCAGTGCAGAGTGGCTCCACAATAAGAGGCCTACTTGACTTTTCAACCTCCACGATTCCACACCATTACTCCCATTGTGCGCGCGAGCTTGCTCGGTTTCTATAGCCACCATTAAAAAAAAAAAACACGGAGAAAGAAGGAAAACCTTTTTTTCTCTCTCTCTTTAGTTTCCTCTCTAAATCCTAGAGTTTTATCTTGTTTTTCAGAGATGTCTCTATTTGATTTGTTTTGACCACTTTTTATGAGTTTGATAACCGAGAAAAAAATCACACAATTTATCTGATAAAAATAAAATCAATACAGACAATTATTTACGATTATTACGCTCAGAAAAAATAAATTAAATCATTTACTCTTGATGATTTAAGGCGTCAGTATTTTAGAAAATAACAACAATTCAAGACATGCAGTTTAAAATGTATTTTAGAGGTAAAATTATAATGATATAGATTAAACACATAAACGCAACATTTGCAAAAAAAGAAAAATATTATTAGATCTCTTTGTGGCGAGTAAAATCAAAATGAAAGTAACTTTACTTGGAGAGGTTTTACGCATGTGTGTGCGCAAAAATACGATGGCATGAAAATCAAACTTCTTACGCGAGTGCATCTGTCAAACCTGCTGCAGAATAAATAACAATTTGGCACTTATTAACTAAAATAACGCACCCCTTCTTTTCACAAACAGTTAACACACACTTAACACACACACACACACACACACACTCCTGTTACCAAACAGTTGCAAATGGTCAGCTAGCAGCAGCAGCACGTCGCATTTCCACAGCCTCCCATTGAGGTTTATTCATTAGTTCCCTCACACTAAGACATTTGCTATTCATGGGGAGACTTCTTCTCTCTCCCCCAAACAAACCCGGGTTAAGAGTGGCAGATGCGTGCCATTATTGCGCACGACTCGCTCCAAGCTGTTTTCTGTGAGGCGAAGGCGGGTTAACCTAATCAATCATGTCGACTAGTTGTGTTAAAGACGAGTCATGGAAGGAGGAAGAAAACATATGGCGCAAGGGGAAGGGTGCAAGCTTTTCTCAACACGGCGGCCAGACCGGGACCTTCTTGTGACAAGATGCATTCAAAGCCGGGAGAGAGAATGGGAAGAAAGGCGACGCACGGCTGCTAATTGAAGTCATGGCACTTGAGGGCTGAAAGCATGGGTCAAATACTCAAAGAGGGGCTGGAACATTTTACCAGGCAGGGAGGGATGAATATTTTATGTATTTCTTTAACCTCCCAGACGAAAAAAGTCATTATCTTCTTGTCAAACTCTTGTTGGAGTCGCTCCGTTTTGTGCGCAATGCCACGTTTTCTCCTCTGCAACTTTATTTCCTGAGTGTAGTTTAATTTAAAGGAATTAAGTGTTTTAAATCCGTCTTTAATTTATATTTTAGCTGCTCCTTTATAATGTAATGATAATATCGCTCATGGAACACACTCCAGTGTCACCCCTCACTGTTTTCTTTGGTACGTTTCTGCACAATCACACATCAGAGCGCGCTGAAAGCTTCTTGAAATATCATATAACCTTTATTTACATAGATGCTGATTAAATAGAATGTTACAATAAAATTATCGCATAGGATGTTTGGTGTATTTATGTACAGAAGTCAAGGCGTGTAAAAGTTTGACAGGATGCCTCCATTGCGCAGAGATCAGGCCCGAACCAAACAAGAAATCGTTTTACACTGCATGAAGAGGGGATGGACAGACAGACAGAGAGAGAGAGGGGGAGAGAGAGAGAGAGAGAGAGACCTCGACCTCAGGCTTGAGAGGCTCATTTAAATATTTGGCAGATCCGAAGAATGCGCATAAATGACAAACTAAAATAATTGCACAACTCTCCATGCCCCCTCCTTCAAACTCGAGCGTGAAAAACTCAAATGTTTACACAGTTTTCAGTCTCACTGTACCATCAGAGTCAGGACTGTCTGCAAGGAAGCCGGATATTCCTCAAATAGTGTGGTGAAACCTAAACGACAGACTTGGAAAGCTCTACAAGTCCGGGTAATAAATAAAAATGGAGAGGGAAAAAGAGAGAGAAGGAGGAGAAGAAAATTCTTGAGATGTCTGTTGTGGATGAGTTCTCCTTTTTCTCTGTCGATATCCGTGCAAAAGTTTGGGAAGAAAAATGCCCCCTTTTTAGTAATCTTCTCATTGTTGCTGCTCGTGAAAATCACAGACCAAACGACTGTCAATCGTCCACCTCAATTTCCTCATCGTCCTCCGAGAACTCATCCGTGGTTTGGTCTCTGGAGGACGAGGGGGACTGTGGGAAGGCCCGGTGTCCCTGGGAGGTCGGGGAGATACTTGGCGATCTAGCCTCGGGTCCCCCAACCTGGTGAGGCTCCTCAATGTTCTCCATGCTGACGAGCTTCTGCAGGGTCTGAGGGGTGATCTTCTTTAGAGACTCCACGTCCGCTTTCATCTCCTCCAGGTCCCGCTTGAGTTTGGCCCTGCGGTTCTGAAACCAGGTGATGACCTGCGCGTTGGAGAGGCCCAGCTGCTGCGCGATCTGGTCTCTGTCGGCCGGAGAAAGATATTTCTGGTACAGAAACCTCTTCTCCAGCTCGTAAATCTGGTGGTTCGTGAAGGCCGTCCGCGACTTTCTCCTCTTCTTTGACGTCTGTCTCTGCCCGAAAGCGTTCACGTGCTCGCGACCTTGGAGAGGTGAGAGAAGAAAACATTCAAAGACGCTGGAAGACAACCGCGAGGGTCACTTTCCCCTCCGAGTCAAACACATGGCACTGCGTAAAAAGGCCTGGTCCAGTGGAGCAGGCTATGTTTAGACTTTCTACCCCGATAATTTTGATAAATATTTTTATGGTTCTAATCAGATCCAGTCACCACAAAATACAGAGCCTCGCCTGCAGATAAACCAAACACATTTTAAAATCTCAGAACAGATACAAATATGCAAAAATGAAGCAGAATCATTTATCTCTGCTCTCATTTTTCAAAGTAATTGCTGCCAAACACGAATTTGATATTGAGATAGTCCAGAGATCATTAATTTGCACAAAACCCGCATGGATGTGTGCCACTACAGCTCATCTGTCAGTCTTTCCATATTAATTCGACATAGCCCTGCATGAGTAGGCCATAATGGCCGATAGACTTTCTGACAGCACGTAAAAGTATATTAGCTGCTGTGTTGACAAGATTTAACACGTCCTAAATCACGTTCAATTCAAATCTGATCAGTGAATTTGATCATTTTGGATTCCCAGTCTTAGATTTTATGCATTCCTTTACAGCTGTCCTCACCACTCTGCATTTCCAGTCAAAACAAACCCAGCTAGCACTCATCTCAGCGACCTCGAGACAACTTCAGAACTTGCCCCATCAGTCCAAAGATTGATTATTGCATTATTAAAAAGTTCTAGTTTACCTTCCGCTGCCTGGATCACGCTGACTTCCAGTCCCTTGAACGTTTTGCTGGCCAGCTCCTCCAGCGCGCACAGCGGCGACGAGGGAGTGGTGATCCCGTTCCTCGCCGAGTTCGAGCCCGTCACTTTCTCGAGCACTCTGGGCGGACAGATACTCGCCACTGACTTCTTTACAGACGGTTTGTTTAGGATATCCTCAATGCTGAACGGCGTCAAAGGCTTGTTGGAGTTTGCCGGCGGTGGGAGCTGGTCTAAGGGAGCTCGCCTCCTCTCCTCGCCGCTGGACTGTAACACAGAACCTGCCTTCATGTCTTTACTGGAGGTCATTGCAGTCCCGAAGAATCGCTGCTTCCACAAAAAGTTGATTATTTCATTCAAGAGGCAGTTTTTACTCCTCCACGAGTGTTTTCTCTGCTGCTCGAAGACCCCCTCTCTATATTTTGACACTCACAGCCGAATGCCGCAACTTAGCTCTCCGCAGAGCCTTCCTCCAAAATAACCATGCTCCGGGCGTAGTTGTAAAGGCAGCCGGACTGTATTCCCCTCAGAGAGTCGCAGTTCCTCTGCCAAGCTCCATGTAGATCTTTAAGCAGGAACAGACTGGAGGGGGAGAATCCCTGCGAGGAGAAAAAAGCTGTCCCAAGCAGTAAGAAGGCGAAAGCGACTGCTAACGAGTTATTGTTGATTGGGCGAAGTTCAATTAGAGAAACACTACACTACTTGCTGACCCGCTGCTGCGTCTTAAAGGGCCGGACCATAATAACTAATTGGACGTGGGGAGGAGGAGGAGTCTGCTGCTGCTGCCGAGGAGAAAGATGCCCTGAAATGTTTATGCATCTGTTTCCCTCTGCTGGTGTGTTCTGCTAGAAAGGGAGAGTCGATGGCCATTAAAACACAGCCAGAAGCACCTTTGTTTGAAAGAAAGTTCACAGGAACTCTGAGCCAAACGTGCTTTTTTTGCTGTGAGATGTAATCTGTTGTTTTTGTGCGTTTTTACGCATTTGGCGTCGTGCGTAAAAACGACATTAGACACTGTGTTGCACGGGATTTTGGCTTCAAATAGCTACAGTGTGCACGTTTAAGGAGGTGATTTTAATATCGATTGAAATGATTCGATATAAATAAACAGTAGCTGTGCTGATTCATCCAACTGATGGGGTTTTCTTTCTTTCTTTTGTAACACAGAGGAATAATGATCCGTGTGGAAACGTGTTAAAGAATATCAAAACAATCCAAGAAGCAGCGGGACTCTTTTTTATTTGATTTTACACTAATAAATATATATTTTTAAAAATTTGAAAATAAGTTCCATCCTTGAAAACAGAAGCACAAATATACAAGTTTAAAATCAACAAGAATGCAAACAGAAAACAAAAAAAACAGCTGAACTTAAATCTGTTTTTTATTTTCGTGCTTTAAAAAAAATCACATTGATTTATTTTCTTTGTGTTTTTATCACTCGTGCTTCACTCTGACCCCGCAGGTGAAACCCTCAGCTCCACTGTAACTCAATGCGGGAGCGTGAAACAAGCGGATAATAAAGGTGACGCCGTGCCGTGGCGCGCAGTCTGAGGACGGAGGAGAATCACCCGTTTTTAACTGATGGTGCTTTTAGGATGGAGAGAGAGGAACGGGTTAGAGACAAAACAGGGACGAGGAGGACACCGAGCAGATCAGCAGGTACGTCTGCTCAGAGGAAACACACCTTCATTTTTTTTAAAGCCTGTCAGGTTCAACAAATGTGAGTCTTTCCATATTAGGGCCTTTAATTCGTTTCAACACAATTCTGGGATTATTCTTAGCATAGAGCATGAACGAAATAAAAAAATCAAATAGAAAAAAAACTCAGGGAAGGTTTAATGAAAGCATTAACGCATGAAAAGAGTGAAAGGTTGGAGTTTTACCAGACGAATAAAGCCTCCTTTTAGATTGTGTTAGAGTCGACCTACCAGCTGCTACTAGGAGCCATAAGCTGAATTAAAGAAATCTTTCAGGATTGTTTTTTTTTTTCTTAAACACACTCAGAGCCATTTGGAGAGAGCCTTCCGTGCCGCCCAGGAAGCCACCGCGGAGAGTCTTGTGCCAACAGGAGCATATGGTGACATTGGTTTAGAGACAGAGTTATAAAACAGCAGGAAATTCTATTAGCTGCCTTGGAGGTCCAGCTTTTTGTGGCTGCTTTAAACATATATTTCTGCATAACAAGCAGGAGTTTATGAGGGTGGATTGAGTTTGGGAATTTTGGCAGAAAAAAAAGAAAGAAAGAAAAAAAGAGGCAGGTGAGGACCTGGACTGATCTGAGTAACAGCTTCAGTCACGAAATTTTACAAAAGTAAGGATTAGTTTTTTTAACTATTACTCCAGTCTCAGTACATAATATATTTGAGACAACATTTGATTGCACAACTTTCACTGAAGATAAAAAAAATAAGACAATCTCAGTTTGTTTTCGTTTTTCCTTTTAATTTCAAGTCGATTTTTTTGAGTTCTCTGCATTTTTCTCCCACTGTATCCTCAGGCCTGTTTCACCCTTAGTGAATTCAGGTCTTACTCATGAGTGGAGGTAAACCTTTCACTCTTTAGAGACCATGTCCACTGTGACAGAGACACACCGGACACTGCAGGCCATCACAGGCTGCTGCAGATTCTCATCATCATCATCATCGTCATCCTCCCCAAACAGCTTCCAATCAGCTCTCAGGCCTGAAGAGAAGCAGCGACGGTCAGAAAGTCTTTTTTTTTTTCTTCTTCTTCTTTGGCTTAATTTAAACGTTAATTAGAAGCAGAGCAGCTGACATCATCAATCATCAGATCTGGAGGGATTTAATTGGATGACTCGCTCTGCGTTTGCGTCCTATCACAGTCCAGCTCTGCGTAATGCTGCGAATCACCCAACGAACATGATATTATTTCTCTCTTTGTGAGGAACAATTTATCAAGCACGCTCCCATTTCTCACGTTTTGTAAAATCACTGCTCTGCTATAAATAATCCGAGGTTAGACGTGCAGCCTTCTTATCTTCCTGGTCTCGATAAAATCAAAGCAGTGGGAAAACTCCCCCTCGGTGAAGGTCAGCCTTTCTCTCATTAATCACCAAATTAATCCAGTGCGCTCCGGAGCGAGCATCAGGGACTGCTCCGAGGATCAAATTCCGCCTCCATCGCAGCCTCGAAGAAGGTGATGACAAATGCAACAACTGCAATAATAATCCTGAAAATGTAATTGGTTACAGTGAGCTGTAACGCGTTACTGGCTGCTCTGCATCGACTGAGCCTCGAAATAACCAGACCTATAAAAAAAGAGGAATATTTCTAATGCATTTTATTTGTTTCGATTGTTGTTAATTGTGTTGTTAATTTGAATGAGATCAGCTGATGATGAGGAGTGATAGAACAGAGACCGAGTGTTAAATCTGCGCATTTATTCACCGTTCAAATCTCTAATAGTAGGAAAACCCGAGGTGGATTACAAAAGGTTTACTTCACATTTTAAAGGATGTTAGATAAACATTTAAATAAACTTCAAAATGAAATAAAAAGGCATATATAACAGAAATTACACAAAAAGGCAGAAAAAGCCTTTAAAGCCACAGTGCTCCAGTATAACCAAAAAAGGAAATTTATGTCCACAATAAAAAACATTTAGTTTATTTTTAAATCAGCATATTCACCGCAGAAGATTTTTGGGTTACATTCTCAGAAAATTACGGTTATTATGTTCTTGAAAATATTCATTTACTCGAGGGGTCAATCATTATTTCGCTCATGCGTAAAGGCCGTCCATGCTCCGCTTTTGTCCCCTCTGCTGCTGCTCTCCCAGCGCAGCGTGCCGTCCTGTATCATGAAGGAAAACAGCTGTAAACGCCTCTCACTCTAACATGATACAGGAGCAGGCTGCAGGGCGCTGTGGGTGTTTGTTTCCCATCTTTTAGCGGCCTCTGTGCGCAGAGACGCGCACCGTGAGCGGCGCTGCAGGGGCCTGATCGAGGGGGAGAGGGATGAGGCCTCACGGCAGGTTTGGCTACCGATTCATGTTTATTTATTTTTTTATTGATTAAGATTTCGATCAATTTGAAGAGGGCTGAATGTATCTGATTAAGATGTGAATTATTCTGCTGCTCTGTAGACTAGAACGAGAGAGAGATCAAAATAAAACCTTGAAGTAATGGTCAGAAAATAAAAACACCTGCAGGTTACTTTATTTTCTCTTTTTTAAAAATGCAAAAAATATATTTAGAAAGAAATAAACTGAAAATAAAAACAGGAAATGTTTGATTTTACGCGCACAGATCTCACTCGTGTCTGTTTGTCGTTTTGAGTCTCTACATCAGGCCGCTCATATCGTTTCACAGCAGCGACAGGACTGACTGTCACTCATAGACTCTGTCCTCTCCCACCTGTCCGCGAACGCACCGTGACGGTCGCTGACGCTCAGGTGTTCAGAGCCACCCCCTTTATCTCTCTCTCTCTGAGGTTGACGTAAGTGACGTCTTCAGCTGCCATTGGACGCCGGCGTCCATCATTTACCCTCACGCTGCTGTACCTTGAGCAGCCACCTTCCTTTATACTTTCTCATGTGCTTAAAGGTGATGGTTGTAATAATTCATTTTTGATCGGTGTCAGACAGAAAACTATCAAACTGGCAGCTTTAAAAAATCTATTTATCATATATTTCATAGTCAAAGTTTGCAATAAGAAACCAAAACTGAAGCCATACGCAGTGAGACAAACCTGACACAGCTCGATTATTGTGAATTTTTTAGAGAATAATTTTCTTTTAATGGTTTTTGACAAAGATGCAATGCAACTAAATACTGCACACTGGTGGGAATTAAATATAAATGTCACAATCATGTTTAAAGTCGTATAAAGTTAACTAGATATTAGTCATATGTTATTTCTAACTTAAAACGAGCCTTAAAAGAGAGTCGTGTTATATTGCCATGCAGCAGCACAGAATGGAGCACTGATTAGAAGACAGAAAGGAAAAGATGTTATTGTATGCAAAAAATTAACTGTAAAGTCTTGATAAAGCAGTGGTTCTCAACTGGTGGGTCCCGACCCAAAAGTGGGTCGCGGACACGTTCTGGATGGGTCACAAACAGCAGGTCAAAAAAGTAAATGTTTAATGTGATATTTATTAGATATCTGATATTTTCTGTACATGCAGCTTCAGTAGTTGTCGTCCTCATGTTGTCCTCTTCATGTGCTGTAAAATAAACTTTATTCAATAAAACAAGTGGATTTGTGTTAAAGATTAGAGCCTTTAAAGGTTTACTTTTTTCATAAAAAATAAATTTGAAATAGTAGAAGAAGTAGTAGTAGTTTATTTGTCCTATAGGGAAATTGAATTGCAGCAGATCACACATTTGGCATTTCATCTGGAACAGTACAGATAAAAAATAAAACAGCATGTAGACAACTTTCACACATAATTAACAGTAAAAATAAGTCACAGGACCTTCTTATCCTCCTAGGCCACCGTAGTCTCACTAACAGGA